TCCCCTAATTTTCGTTGCTGCGAACGATTGCGTGCCTAACAATGCCCTATCCGTGATGTGGGGCGTTTAGTGCAAAGATGGATAAGTCGGCGGTCTCTGATTGCTATCTAGTGTTATTCGTCGATTCCATGCGGAGTCTGCAAGAAGATAGCTAGAGAGTGATTCACGGTTTCTGATCTCTGCACCATGGACTGGTGAATACCATAAAAAATACTATAGTGTCGATTACGGTACCTTTGATTATACAAACGATGACGTGACGCAGACGTACACCAATGTAAAAGGATGCTGAATGTCCGTTCAAATTATGCTGATCATCATTTACAGACATCGAGCTATGGTATAAAACCAGATAGAATGCACTTCTCCATCTGTCTTTGTCGCTGTGCTCTTCCAGAAAAGCTTCGGACGAGGCCGTGGTTCGCCTTATGGTTACGTCGTCTTGTCGGCTTTCCTCCCCCCAGATAAACATGGAAATCCTATCCTAAACAAATGTGGATTGGAATGTACTGTTGTTGCCGATTAATTCTATGACTATCTGCGCTAAATATGGAGAGCTATCATCCCTATATAAAAAAAAGTTGGTACAAATTGAAGTTTCAATAAACGCCATACATTGATGCACAATATATATTTATTAGTGAGAATCAACAAACCACACACTGTGAAACATTAACTCTTATATAGCAGCAGATGAGTAATGCTGAAAACGACAAATTAAAATGCCAATATTGCACACAAAAGAATACATACAAATATATATAACAAATATAAATTTGTGGATAATGAGATTACAAAACATATCTAGGTATATTTAAAGACAACATTGCATCAAAATGTATTAAAAAATAGTTAAATTAGATTCATTTTCCATCGTATTAGTGGCGTTAGTGGTGACAAATTTCGTTTAAAACAACAGGCAAACAAGATTTCATTTATTGTAAACTGTGAATTGGCAGTACAATTTTGAGCATTTTGACCCTTATTTTGAATGGTCAAAATCTAAATAATTAGGTTACTTAGTACCGATACCATATCAAAATTCAACTACTGCTACTTTGAATGTTTCCGTAAAATTATATCCTGAAAGTCAACTAAAGACGGGTCGGGTCATTCAATACAGCTGTTATAGCTTAACTATCAGACTGAATAACCTAGTTTCAGACTGGAAGGCTTGTTTGCATAACCTATGTCAAACAACATGACCATTTATTCAGTATTTATGTGGTTCACACTTCTACACATTTTAGTCTGTAATACTAAGGTTTACTTCATCAGATAAGCTTACAATAATCTACTAGCACAAATGCAGAAGGAAATGAGCAGTAGTAGGAACATGCCACTTTGGCCAATCATATGAACATTTTGAACAGGGTAATAATCAATTATATATTTAAATTTTTTTCTATCTGTATGTCACTGAAGCTGTTGGTGAAGATATCATTCCAAATTCCTGATTTTGCTCTATGATTCCAGAAACAATTTCTCAAAACCATAATTCTTCACATACTATAATCCAGTTGTTAAAGCAAATTATTTCAGAGGTCTTCATCTGTGTCATAGTACGGTCCAGACATCAAGTACTGTTGGATTTTAGGTGGAACAGAAATAGAAGGAATCAATTCCGCAACAACACAATTTCTTATTGTCATTCTGCACATGTATTTGAGAGACTTGATTTTAGACATCCTCGAAATCGGAGTTAATAACCTGAAAACATATGCACTTTCGTTATTATAATAGGAAGTAACTTAACAAACAAGAAAAATTAAAACACAACTAGAAGAAAGAAAATTTTATAGCAGAATAAACAATGGGTTACTTAATGCGTATAGGCTCAAAGAATATGAGAGCCGAAGCAGAAATGTTTCAAATCTTATGCCAATCCTGTACCTACTAATAGCGCTCAAGTAACCACCCTTATTGATTGAAAAGTTTTGGCAGCTATTGGCACCATAACTCAGTCTCATTTACTCAGCGCGTAACCTTGATTTGAGCAAAGTTTCCTAAAAAAAACGAAAATATTTGAAAAGCCTTCCTGAAAATTGCATTTGTCAAGTACTGATTTTCCAGTGAAATTTGCCAATCTTGCATCTATGTCCTAATTTATATAAAACGCAAAAGCAATAAATACCGAAATATTTGAATATTGACATGTGAATGTCTTTAAATACAAAATGAATTACATAGCTATGACAAATTATGTCCACATAGTTAGCGAATATTGCCTTCAATAACAAGCTAGGACGTTTTCGGCACATAAAGACATAACCGCAAATTGCTTATGGTAAAAAAACATTTATTACCAGTAATGCTATAAATATGTAATGAACCAGAAAGTAAAAAATATGTACTTCAAAAGCACACACATGAACTGACAATCAGTATAGTTAGCAACCTTATTTGCACCGGTGGTTCGCCCATATTTTTTGGTTTGAGGAAATACAAGAAACTTCCTGATATAGAGTGCTTTACGGCCAGCTTGATGAACTGTTCAATATTTGAGTGGCGAACACATTGTGCGGCACTTCGGCTTACAGCACGACCAGGTTCATAGAGTTGAAATTTTCCTGCGAGTACAAAATAAAAATATTGGAGAGCGGCAATACACAAAAGCTATACAATACACCATATGTATACTAAAATGAACAATAGTAGTTCAAATCTATTGCAAATTTAACGAAAATTTTATAGGTTTTGCATCAACTGATGCTATTTGCAACTATGAAACTACGGTTTATGTTGATAGTAACTAATTAACTCCGTTAATATTACACACAAACTACTAAAAGTAAATAAAAATTCAGAGAAAAACTCATTTTTAGGATTAGAAGTATTTGGCATTAACTGTATATGTGATGTATGTTTACAAAATAGATACTAAAAATAAAACAATAAAGCTGATTAGAAAAGGCACTAATTTGAAAAAAATTTTAGCAAGAAAATATTGACATTGTAGATTTTTGTATTTGATTTAATGTTTTGAATGACCATTTGATATAAAATTTGCCATTTGGAACAAAAGACAGACAATACGTCCACAGGGTAAATGAAATGTATAATTATGAATAGGGAATATGAATGATTTGCCTTCAAACACATGTTATTAGCATAATTGTAAACGACACTTTCTTCAGTGCTATAATTGACTGCTGGAGGCTATAGTATGATTACCGACAGACATCCTGAGGTATGAAATCATGTTACAATTACTTGCATATTATGAAATTATTCTAGCGATGACACATTAATGAGTGCATAACTAAGCAATATTATGTTCATGTGACATAACATCCTGTCTCAAATTTCCTTGTTTTCGCTAATCTATGATAGCCATTATACTGAGCTAGGTATGCACTTTTCAACTTGTGGTTAAAAAATGAAACAATAGAAATGTGGCACAAAAACCAGAGTTAGTAATGTGAAATTAACTTGGTCGACGATTTATTCCAGCGTAATAAGGTATATCCTGATACAAAATCAAACGAAGGCTAATTAAATTACATATAAACAGAATCCAAAAAAGAAAAAGCACATGCATAGCATTTAACCAGCCAAGACTAAATAATGTATTTTTTGTGCATCCTTAACCTAAAATACTGAAAATATGTGATATTGCGCCATGGTTAAGTAAAAAAAATTATAATTATAAAAACCATAATAATTTCAAAGATCCGAATTTTTGCAGTGCACAAATATAAAAGTGTTGTTTTAGCAAATAAGCCTATTTGAATCCTGTCATTAAGTAAATCCTAAACATGATCTCATTGTGGAAACTAGTTTCGCTAGAAAAGCAAATTTTTTAACAGAGATATTCATAATTATTTCATTTGCCTACTCAAATCTTATCATTGAGAGAATCTTACAAATGATCTCATTGTGAAAACTAGTTTTGTTAGAAAAGCAAATATTTATAATTATTCCTATAATCAATATTTATGTGAATTATATTTGTTTGAACCCCCTTATTATTACATTGATTCTTCATACTAAATGATTTTCACAATTAAAATGAAAATAGCACTGCAGGGACCACAAGATAATAAAAATCAAATCATGTGCAACTAACAATGAAATCACAGACATTTACGATACTAATCATTTAATGTTCATTATTAATATTAAAAGTGCAAACCTTCACAATATTCTACACGAATATGATGTACGGTGTTGGTTGTTGAACGCACAGTGATTGTTAGAAGATGGAGAGGATTCTGGCTGTCACGCATCAAAAATACTCCTACAAAATATAAAAATTTATTAATGTATTAGTTATACAGAACATGATTCATAATCCAGTTAGCTAGGTTTGTTTATTACATTCACAAGTAACTAAATAATACCTTAAATATTTAGCTTAAGTATACGTTTGACCAGTAGACTTACTTAAATAAAAAAGGGTTTTACAATAATAAGTCAAATGTTTGAAATTGCTGTTTACAGAAACTTGTATTCTGAATATATGAGATGAAATTTGGCATACACTATTAGTTTAGAGCAAATGAAATCTACCGGTATATGAAATTATGCAACAAAATGACAGGGTTTCTCAAAGTGGGCCCCTAAAGGGCTCCTTTTTTATTGAAGAGCAGGGGAGCATGCAGTGGTGAGAGTCTTTGGAAGGGAGCTACCAATCTTGATAGTTTGAGAACCACTGCACAATGACATCATAATAGAGAAATTACCTTCGCCTTCCTTCTGTGTAAGTAGAGCTTCGGCTTCTTGCCATGTCATGTTTCCCCAATACCATCCACATTTTTTGAGCAATAATAAGTTTTCTGCCAATTTTGCATGAGGTAAGTTGGTATTTACTCCCGCTTCAACAGGCAACTCATGTGGAATTATATCATTGTTTTCAGTATCATTTTCATTTGAAAATGTCCTAACAACAGGTCTATTCGGGATTGGTGGTGCTGTAGCATTTCTGTCCACATCTGGGATAGATTCATATAGAGGCAGCGAGTGTCGCCTAAGCGCTGTATCAAATGTCAAATCAGTAGGATTGATGGTTAAAGGAGGACTGTGTGCACCATAATTATGTCGCCTAGTGTCATGGGTGTTACCAGAGGGAATATTGTGTTGTATAGGTACAGGAAGATCATCTGCCTCTGCCAGATTCAATAAATGTTCGTCAACACTTTTGCGTAAATTTTCAAAATATTCCTGATCAAGCTTATAGCGTTGTTTTACAGCTTCATCATTTACGACTCGTGGAGGTAGTGGAGGTGGTACACCATCCTTATTAAAATACTGCAATCTTGGAGGCTTATTGGGCAGTGGTGGGGGAATGCTTCCATTTAGTTTTGACTGCAAATCGATAGTCTGATAAACATGTCTTTGTCGTTTATCACGCAAAATATATTTTGGTTTAGGAGGTATAGCAGGCTTTATTGACTTGTTGGACTTCAACTCAGAATTCAAACAATTCCCAACTTGTGCTTCAGTGTTGGAGCTCTGACCTGCTCCTTCATGAATATTTTTTTTATCATCATTTCTAAGGGGGACAATGTCATGATATATATGCCTCCTTTCACGTTTTTTGAAATTATTTCCTGGTATTGCTGAATGAGAAATTGTCCATGGCGTCACTGATATATTTTCCGCCGTGTGTGTTTTGGATTGATCCTCATTGATTGGAGCATGCAATGGACTAGAGACTTTTCTTCTTGCACCACTACCAACCATTTCATCTCCAGTAACATGTGGGGTTGAAGATGAAGTGTGCCCATCCAGCATTACTTTTACCAATAACGTAAAATGACACCTATACAGTCTAGCAAGACATATCAAAAAAAAAATTTAAAACAAACTGACCAAAGTAATCGATATAATTCAAAGTAGCGCTTTAACATTCGAGAACAACTATGTGATCAGCAGTGTGGCGCATCATGCTCAGCATTTGGGTTACACTTGCCATAGAACCCCTTGATTATCCTGTTCGGTTCGCAAGTTACAATCATGTGGGAGTTGATTAGGTGCGAGAGGATTGCTGGACTCCCTGCCTTGGTTACGGTTCTTCCACAATCAAGGTCATGCATCTGAAAACAAAATAACTAGCCAACTAATCCCATACGTGACATGGACTAGTAACCACTGGCCATCTTACAGTCTTATCGAATTTCCTCTTCCCCTTGATATGTAAATCCTATCCTTTTACACTCTTACTCGTGCATTAAAGTGAAATTACAGGAAACCAATAGGGTGGTTTGGCCTCTTTGAGATCCTTACAAATCTTCAATACCCTAATTAATATCAAAAATATGAAAAAGGGGTGTCTATAGGCAGAGTTGTACAAAACAAAAGAGTCGCAGTTCTTACCACTTTATGGCAGCTCCAGCCACGAACGAACCGATGGCAGCTCTCGCTGTGATTACGGCGCTATTATCGGTATATTCACAAAGTCATGTACCAGATTTAAGTTTAACATGTGGGATATTATCTACTTAAACCTGAAACCTAACTCCAAATCCATCGAAACTGTATCCATAAAAAAGTATTCAAATAACTTTTCGACTGAATTTCGAATAATAGACACTTTCCGCCGTCAGCGATTTTGTCAGTGTCAGAATGGGTCTCATGTAGTTTCGTACCTAACGTACTTCTAGTGCAGTAGTGGGTGTAGCATAACAATTTTTTCATGTGTCAATCCTAACCCCCACCTGACTACGCCATTCAAAAATTACGTCACTACAACGCCACAGTGACGTAATAGAGCCCTTCAAACTATACGAAGTGGCATCCATAACGCGCAGATGAGCACCCGAAATCGAACAGCTATTTCTTTGGTTTTTTCAGCAGCGATCCCAATATGACTGTATGAGAGAGCTCGATGACGTCAGTCACTTTTTATCGCCGGCGCCTATGCCGTTTCAGGCGATCTTACGTATATTTGGCAAGCTCTATGACATAATTTTCGGATGGCGAAGTTAGGTGGGGGTTAAGATTGACATGTCAAATAACTTTTATTCTATGCCCACTAAAAGTACGTTAGGTACAAAACTACATGAGACCCGTCAGAATGTGCAGAAAAAATAACAATATACATAATCATATTACACTATTACAGTATTATATTTTGTCAGAACTTATTAAAAATTTTATGTTATAGATCTAAGTTATAAATATTAAAACCATACGGCAGTAAGGGTATGATTAAAATGCAAAGATAAGATAAGACAAATCACACTCGAATTTAACTAAGGTACCGTATGAATTATGATAGATTGATAGTAGCACCATAGCTCATAAGGTCAAATAAATAAAATATCCCATACAGCCATAACACAGTACAGCAGTAACAACATAAACTGATATAACACCTTCTGCAGTACCGGTATTTGCAATAAAATCCAAAATTAGAAAAAAAATTTACAATTTCTAAATATGCCAATGTACCGTCGAGGCGCAGTTCTTACCACTTCATGGCAGCTCCTGCCACGAACGTACCACGTCGTCTCCTGCCATGGTTTTATGGCGCTATTACCGGTATATTTACAAATTCATGTACCATATTTTAGTTTATCATGCGAAATTATATCTACTTAAACCCTAACCCTAACCCCAAATCCATCCAAACTGTATCCATAAGAAAAACATTCCAACTCACCAAATATTTATCACCATCAGCAGATTAGGGGCAGCCCTGCTATTACAGCCGACCTGCCGTGGTTACGGCATTAAAATTGGTGGTATTCGATTTGCTGCCGTAACCACGGCAGCTCGCTATTGGTTTGTGGCAGCTAAAAAGTCAGTCGCCGTGGGTTTGGTCTTAGTGGCCGTGGTTTGGAAATCCCGCCATGGTTTTGCGCAGCTGTAGACGCCACAAAATACGGTACTTGAAACTGCACTTGGTACCGTCACTGGTAACGTACAGTAACGACTACCGGTAATCAATTAATTTTCAATTCAACGTAATACGGTACCCCTTGAACTATTCCCTTCTTTATTAAACCTCAGCGAACTGCAGAACAGACCAAGACTTTTTTTTCAAAGCAAACCAATCACAACAAAAATTTTTAAGTCTGACCATGACTGCGGGGTGATTGATAATTTTTCCCCTTACAGTGCCAACTAGTGTCCATGTCCATCCAAGAAAGTGCCTAGCCTACAGTACAATGTACATTACATATTTTATTTCGATTCATTCGTAAAAAACAATGTACAGAAAAATATTACAGCGAAGAAACTGGGAAGTTGACAAATTCTAAAAATATTTTAAAACGTCCAAAACGTTATCACTCGCGAAAGGGAAAACAAATCACAACAAACCTAAACAAATAAACTTGAATATAGATAGTGGGAGTCCCCCTAAATGTAAAAATCGAATTACAGTTTAATTGCAATGCGCTATTTGTTTTTCTCAGATAGAAGTGAAAATATTGTGGAAATAAAAGACAATATTACTTCTGAAATATGTCTGATCCAGAATCCCGATCTTGAGATTACTCGGGGCCGATAAAATAAAGAAAACGATCCATATGAACAATTCGTGTAGGCTACAATAAAATGGATTGAACTCGTCCCGTAGCATTGACAAAACAAATGTCACCGTTTCAACGCTCGTTTGCGGAAAAGTTGTCCTTGCAGCATCACTACAACACTATATACTGGGCGTCCATTTAGGTCTTGTTTCGAATCAAACACTTTATTACAATATCCAATTATAATTTTTTGAAATCGTTGAGAAGCTCTATGAACACCCCTTATACAAAGCTTCAGTGATATGTATTGATTATATTCCGAATATTCTCAGTACGGGCTTGAAAAAAATACAACAATTATTTATGGTGTGATTTTTTTGGTACTAAAACTCATGAACCGCATACGAAAAAATACGATTGAAAAGCTTTCGGACAAAATTTCCTTATTGTTTCGTCACCTGCAAATTGCAGGTGGATATTTCGCTTCAACAACTAAAGAACAAAGAAACTAGAGTTTTAAAAACATCTCTTAACAATTCAGAGTACACAAATGAAGATTAAAAGAATATTTATTTTATCATACTTTCGAGAAATCGATTGCTGCTAATAACGGTGCCTAATAAAATGCAAAACCCAGATAGTAGTGTGACGTCATAATGTATATTGTTTATCAATAATTGAGATAAATGTATTAAATCGTGGTAAATTCTAGATTTTATAATTCTGCGACTTCGAACTGGTAAAACAGGTCAAAATGTCGCCTATATTTGACTTCCTTAGCTCTATATTGCGGCGAAGGCTCAAATGTTTAATTGATGTTTCACACTATGTGCTCCTTCTTCTGCTCTGCGGATGCGGAATTTTGGTTCGCTTTGGAGTTGATCACCAAGAAAAGATGACATCTCTCCGCCAGGAGCCAGATCATTTTCCTAGCAATCTAGGAGATCTAACATCTCTCCGCCAGGAGCCAGATCATTTTCCTAGCAATCTAGGAGATCTAACTGACTCTTACCCGCCATGGAATACGTCTATCCCTAACAACAATGATGGAAGATGGTTGCATAATTTATGCTGTCAGCTGAAAGGATGGTTCTTCTGGAAGTTTTTCTTTGTCGTGCCGTTGACGGCAAGAGCTGTGAGATGGTTTTTTATAAACCGTCATTATAAGAAGATTTCAATCGCAGCTCTTTTTGAGCTCAGGGCACAGGCTGCCGAAATCTCAAAGACGTATAAAATCAGAAGGAGATCTTACAGGATTTTGAGATCATTCGTACGTATTTGGTGTCGACCTTTCCGAAAATATAAAAAATCTCGACAAACTAGTCGAATGAGGAAATCGGCTAAAAAATATTTCAGACAGGCTTTAAATCGAAGACATCGAATCAATTCGAAAAACAGAATAATTCAAAGAAATCGGTTTCTACAAATTGGCGACGTTAACACACAATATGGTTCGCAACATTCAGAAAGGAAGGCTGACGTATCCTTTAACCAAGCCAATGTCGCAAACGCTCAACCCGGGTTTTCAAGAACGGAAGATTTGCCCAACGAGGCAAACATTTCTGATAACGATAATTCAGAGAAAATTGCAGAAAAAAATTTCAATGAGTCTTCGCGAATATTTGGTGTTGGAAACAAATCCATGCACGAACCACCATTCAAATCCGATGAATCAGACAATTCATCGATTCGGAAGCTTCATGTGCATGTAGAAATACCTCGTATGATGGACTCTGACCCATGTTATACGGATTCCCCTGTCTGTAAATCGTCATGTCCAGTTTCTTCCACTGCATCGGGCAGTTGTGGCAGCAATATTTCGAGAGAATCACCATGCGACCGCACAAATTACCGGAACTTGAATGAGCAAGAACAATCTCAGGACACAGAAATGAATGAATCCGCAACATCCCGTCAATCAGACGAATCTAAGTATTCAGCATTGTGCCTCTCAGAAATATCCACTGGTGTTTCTCAAAGCCTTTCGGAGTGCGACCTCCCATCCATGGAATGGTCGGACGAGGATGACGATAATTCTGTGAATTTCAACAGGTATCAAGACGAAGAACCTCGTATCACTTCTCCCGGCTCGCATGAAAAATTAAAAATTATTCCCGAGTACCTGAAAAGACGAAAGACTAGCGGAAACGATTATTTGAATGAAGTATCATCAGCTGGGAGCCATTCAAGTAATGGATACCGTGACTGTTCTCCCGGTAGAATCGAATCATTCGGGGGACAACACAATTTTTCCAGTTCATTAAAAAATTGTAAACAGCGCATTCCGTCCTTATGTTCTGGAATTTTATTCCCTTCAGCGGGAAGAAGAATTGAACGAACCCGAGATGGAAAACACAATCCAGCGCCTAACTCGCCAATTCGAAAAGCGATCGCCATCAAAATCCCCAGCGTTCCCAAAAAGAGTGATTCCGAATATGAATCTGACACCGCCAGTAGTGGCGTGGTGTCAAGTACGGTGACAAGGTTTGGAGAGCCCAATGAGAATAAAGATATGGAAAATCAGTGTTTTTCGGAGAGTTGCAACAAGTCATATGATAATGCCAAAATGATATATCCGACGGGTTTTGTGAAGCCATTTACCGTAACGCCAACTACTACAATGGCACTTTTAAAGGATAACAGAATTGGAGGTTCTTCACACACGATTTCCACACCAAACATCGATGAAATGAAAATTTCGCGCAGGAAAAAATTCAAAGATTACGCTGAGATTTATCATCCATCGAGTGAAAGTGTTCGAGAAAATAACAAGCATTCTCATACAAAAGTTCAAAATGACGTGAGTATATTAATTTCTAATTTTTTTCTGGTGTTGAGAATCATTGAGACTGTTTCTCATTATGTTTCTTATTCATGAAATGGACGTATGACATGACTAGGGCTGGGCATTTCGAATCGAATATTCGAATCGAATAGTAAATTATTCGAATCGGTTCAAACTGGAATTTCGAATCGCCGCCATCTTGTTTTTATCTTTCGGCTAATGGTCGAGGTAAATTCCCCAATTTTTTTTTCATTGAAGTCATATTTTTTCAACGAAATTCTAACATATGACTATTTTCTGTAGTGAGTTATTGAAAAAACGTGTTTGTTATTCTGTGTGAACGCTCAGTAATCTATCTGAGTGATTTATTCTATGTCTTATTCAGTAATTCATTTGTTGAGAGGACCAATTACTATGATAAAGTCGCTTACAATTTTATATTTTCAAGTATTCGAGATTCGATTCGATTCGAAAAAATTATTCGATTCGATTCTGAAATCACAAGGTATTCGAAAATGCCCAGCCCTAGACATGACACGTTCTAATTGGTATAACGAAGTTTGTCCATTTGTTCAAATTTTGATTTTTTTGATTGAACTGTGACGCACTGACCTGAACCTTGTATCCATGTATAATAGAAAGAGCGAGAGATTTATTATTTTGTCAACCAAAATACAAACAGTCATCAATACGAAAAAATACATAACACAAATAAAATTGCTTTGGTATGAACGGGAGGTAGCGGTACGACCATTCGGTCATCGAGGTCAACTCCCACCCTCTTTGCTGGAGTGATTAAGGTTCAAATTGAAGATGTCTATTAAAAAAGTTGGTCTGTCTAATAATACTTTTACCAAGTATTTCTTAATAATGCTTAATAATAACCCACCACCGATTCATACATTCTCAAGTATAAAACAATAAAAGCCATTTTTCTTTCCTGCAATTCATTAACGCCTCGTATTTTTGTTACAACAGACATCAGATGAAATCATCGGGAATCGAGAACAGGATGAATTTGAGTCAAAATCTCACACAGTGGATGAAACACAAGATATTGAAAAAGGAAATGGAATTATTTCCTGCGAGGTTTGTAAATTTAAAAATAAAATCTTCTATTCAACAAAATGAGAATTTCCAAAAATAATACCTCGGAAACAATACCGCTCTACTTTTGTGTTTGCTATACTATATATATTTTATATAAATGCTATTAAAATGCAAACTGAATTCCTCTGATTCTTACTGTATTATTAAAACGGATAAATTTTACATTTATTGTGATTACATTGAATCATTCAGGAAAACATTGCATTTGAGCTCAAGAATGACCTTGAGTCGATTCATCATAAGTTAAAGAAAATGGATCAACGACAAAGAGAGGAATTTATTTCTGAAAGTGAAACTAGTATTTATTGGGTGAGATGAGGTTTTTTATTTACTTAATTAAATAATACTTTATTTACGTGGCTAATGGCTTCAATAATCATCCATGCTTTTTATTTATGAAGGTTCAAAGTAGAGTTTATATATACCAGATGTGAAGACAATGATATAAAACTTGATCAAGTGTCAATGTATACACACTAAATACCATTAAATTTTCAGATCGTTATGTCATGTATTTAATTTTACTTAGATTCTGGAGAAATTAAAACAAGAGAAAAGTAGACTTGATGAAATGGTATTTTCAAAAAATTCACCCAAAAAAGAATCTGTGCCAAGGAAACAAAAACTGAAAAATCCGTTTCGGTGGATCCGATCAAAAGTTTCCTCAAATTTGCATAAGAAGGACGATGACCATTCAAAGATTCTACTCTTATCATCACTGAAAAAAGTGGAATTGAGAATGGAATTGGAAGAAAATCGACTCCAAAAGCATAGAAAACTTCTATCACAAATTGAAGAAGAAGAGCGCAAAAGAAAATCGAAAGCTCGTACAGAAATATTAAATCTGAAGAGATGCATTGTAGAAAACACGAAACGGGGAATGGAACTCCGAAAACTTATTATAAACAGCAAACACAATGATGAATCAGGAATCCACTGCCACGATTGTATGTTCAATCTACATGCAAGCATTTGGAAAGAATCAATCCCTGTTTTTGAAAATCCAATTCTAAATGAAATTGATGGATTTCTTCCTTGCTGCCCCACAGTGATGGTAATTAATATGAAGTATGAAAATCTGGAACTTGACAACAATGACATTGAAATTGATCTAAAACTAGACAGAGTGAAAAAATTGCAAAAAGAAATTCAACACGGATTATTCAGAAAATCTTATTTACAGCATGGGCGATTTACGATTAATTTATGAACAAATTTATTAATATTCTACTGCAAATTGTATTACGTTCTCGCGAAACAGATACGTATGCCAATGACTTTGTTTCTTATTTTTGTTTGTTATTATTGTTTGTGAAGTATGTTATTGCCTCATTTTGACTCAACTTTATGTCATTGATAATATACTCTCACACTCCATTTTAGTCTGTGTTTGCTTTAGAATGAATTTGTAAACATCTGTCGCTAAATGGAGTACCGCCCCAAACACGCGCATACTATCTGGACTTATTTCACCAAGTACAGTGTTTATATATCTTATACAAAACACTCATATACTTAAAAATTAAATCGACAATCAAAACCGGCAGTTTGAAGAAGGCGGTGAGTGAGAAACAAGATATGCATAAATCAAATAAGAAATGTTTAAGAAGCAATCCACCTCCGTTCGATATGAAAAAACATTTGAATGTAGTCGCATTTGTGCCTCAACCTAACAACAAAACCCCAAACCAACAAAAAATAAAACAATACACAGAAAATATTAAGGCGAACAAACTGGAAAGTTGATGTAGCTAAAAATAATTTTCAAACGTATTAAACGCTCCACTCACGAATAGGGAAACAAATCACAACAAACCTAAACAAACAAACATGAATATAGACGTCGGGAGTCTCACTTTGTAATCAAATTGCGCTATTTGTAATTCATTCACAAACAAAACGGTGATCTGAATAGCCGCTGTGCACATGACGATTTGACGACATGTAACGTAGAAACAGTCGAAAAACTTATTCCCAGGTTATAATATAATGTATATGCTTGTCGATGTTTCAAGCTTAAAAATCAAAAATCTATCCAGTGATTATCATAATATCGAATATAATTAATGTACACAAAAATGTAATATTCGATAAAAACTTTTGCATACCCAGTTCCATCTATAAATATTGAGAGCAATCCAAGCTCAATTTCGATCAAATTTTACTTCAGGCTTGCATAGGATAAGCATTCTTTGCATTCCAATTGTACATTTTTATCCCACAGTCGAAACTTTCCTTATATTTTAATTCGTTATTTATTTTCCTCGGGTAGAAGAGAAAATATAATTAAAGATTGTGGAAGATGAAGAAAATATTACTTTTGAAGTTTGTCAAGGACGTGTAAGAAAATTGAGGCCGATAATTCCGATCTTGAAGCTACTCAGGGCCGAAAAAATAAACAAAACGATCCATATGTAAATTTCGTGAAAATTTCCAATAAAATGGATTGTAACCCTGCCTGTAACATTGGCAAAACAAACGTCACAGCTCAACGCACGTTTACGGAAAAGTCGTCCTTAACAGCACTACAAGTTTTAGAAAGTAATGAAACACTGTATACTGGGCGTCCATGAAGTCTTGTTTCTATTTAAAAACTTTATTACAATATCGAACTATAATTTTCTCAAATCGTCAAGAAACTCCATGAACCCCTCCTATGTACTGTTTTAATGATAAGTATTGATTGAACTTCTGAAACGGAGTATACCGAGAAACAATTATTTTTGGTGTAATTATTTTGGCACTAAAACTCGTGAACCGTATACTACGAAAAAAGACGAATGCAAAGAATTTGGCAAAAAGTTACTTTTTGTTCCGTCAACTGCAAAATGTAGGGTAGGTATTTCTCCACAACAACTAAAGAACAGAGAAACTAGTGTTAGTTAAACAAATATATATATACATTTCACAATATACAATAAATTGAAATAATATTCATTTCATCATATTTTTCAGAAATCGAGTTCTGCTAGAAAAAATGGCTACGAAAAATCAAAACTCAGATGGTAGTGTGACGTCATAATATGTATACCATTGTTCATCAATAATTGAGATAAATGGAGTAAATTGTGATAAATTCTAGATTTTATAATTCTGCGACTTCGAACTGGTAAAACAGGTCAAAATGTCGCCTATATTTGACTTCCTTAGCTCTATATTGCGGCGGAGGCTCAAATGTTTAATTGATGTTTCACACTATGTGCTCGTTCTTTTGCTCTGCGGATGCGGAATTTTGGTTCGCTTTGGAGTTGATCACCAAGAAAAGATGACGCCTCTCCGCCAGGAGCCAGATTATTTTCCTAGCAATCTAGGAGATCTAACTGACTCTTACCCGCCATGGAATACGCATATCCCTCACAAAAATGATGGAAGATGGTTGCATAATTTATGCTGTCAGCTGAAAGGATGGTTCTTCTGGAAAATTTTCTTTGTCGTGTCGTTGACGGCAAGAGCGGTGAGATGGTTTTTTATCAACCGTCATTATAAGAAGATGTCAATTGCAGCTCTCTTTGAGCTCAGGGCACAGGCTACAGAAATCTCAAAGACGTATAAAATCAGAAAGAGATCTTACCGAATTTTGAGATCATTCGTGCGTATTTGGTGTCGACCTTTCCGAAGATATAAAAAATCTCGACCAACTAGTCGAATGAGGAAATCGGCTAAAACATATTTCAGACAGGCTTTAAATCGAAGACATCGAATCAATTCAAAAAACAGAATAATTCAAAGAAACCGGTTTCTACAAATTGGCGACGTTAACACACAATATGGTTCGCAACATTCAGAAAGGAAGGCTGATGTATCCTTTAACCAAGCCAATGTCGCAAACGCTCAACCCGGGTTTTCAAGAACGGAAGATTTGCCCAACGAGGCAAACATTTCTGATAACGATAACTCAGAGAAAATTGCAGAAAAAACTTTCAATGAGTCTCCGCGAATATCTGGTGTTGGAAACAAATTCATGCACGAACCACCATTCAAATCCGATGAATCAGACAATTCATCGATTCGGAAGCTTCATGTGCATGTAGAAATACCTCGTATGATGGACTCTGACCCATGTTATACGGATTCCCCTGTCTGTAAATCGTCATGTCCAGGTTCTTTCACTGCATCGGGCAGTTGTGGCAGCAATATTTCGGGAGAATCACCATGCGACCGCACAAATTACCGGAACTTGAATGAGCAAGAACAATCTCAGGACACGGAAATGAATGAATCCGCAACATCCCGTCAATCAGGCGAATCTAAGTATTCAGCATTGTGCCTCTCAGAAATATCCACTGATGTTTCTCAAAGCCGTTCGGAGTGCGACCTCCCATCCATGGAATGGTCGGACGAGGATGACGATAATTCTGTGAATTTCAACAGGTATCAAGACGAAGAACCTATCACTTCTCTCGGCTCGCATGAAAAATTAAAAATTATTCTCGAGTACCTGAGAAGACGAAAGACTACCGGAAACGATTATTTGAATGAAGTATCATCAGCTGGGAGCCATTCAAGTAATGGATACCGTGACTGTTCTCCCGGTAGAATCGAATCATTCGGGGGACAACACAATTTTTCCAGTTCATTAAAAAATTGTAAACAGCGCATTCCGTCCGTATGTTCTGGAATTTTATTCCCTTCAGCGGGAAGAAAAATTGAACGAACCCGAGATGGAAAACACAATCCAGCGCCTAACTCGCCAATTCGAAAAGCGATCGCCATCAAAATCCCCAGCGTTTCCAAAAAGAGTGATTCCGAATATGAATCTGACACCGCCAGTAGTGGCGTGGTGTCAAGTACGGTGACAAGGTTTGGAGAGCCCAATGAGAATAAAGATATGGAAAATCAGTGTTTTTCGGAGAGTTGCAACAAGTCATATGATAATGCCAAAATGATATATCCGACGGGTTTTGTGAAGCCATTTACCGTAACGCCAACTACTACAATGGCACTTTTAAAGGATAACAGAATTGGAGGTTCTTCACACACGATTTCCACACCAAACATCGATGAAATGAAAATTTCGGGCAGGAAAAAATTCAAAGATTACGCTGAGATTTATCATCCATCGAGTGAAAGTGTTCGAGAAAATAACAAGCATTCTCATACAAAAGTTCAAAATGACGTGAGTACATTGATTTCTAATTTTTTTCTGGTGTTGAGAATCATTGAGACTGTTTCTCATTATGTTTCTTATTCATGAAATGGACGTATGACATGACACGTCACTTCGATATAATCCTGATTGATATAACGAAGTTTGTCCATTTGTTTAAATTTTGATTTTATTGATTGAACTGTGACGCACTAACCTGAACATTGTATCCATGTATAATAGAAAGAGCAAGAGATTTATTATTTTGTCAACCAAAATACAAACAGTCATCAATACGAAAAAATATATATCACAAATAAAATTGCTTTGGTATGAACGGGAGGTAGCGGTACGACCATTCGGTCATCGAGGTCAACTCCCACCCTATTTGCTGAAGTGATTAAGGTTCAAATTGAAGATGACTATTAAAAAAGTTGGTCTGTCTAATAATACTTTTACCAAGTATTTCTTAATAATTCCTAATAATAACCCACCACCGATTCATACATTCTCAAGTATAAAACAATAAAAGTCATTTTTCTTTCCTGCAATTCATTAACGCCTCGTATTTCTGTTACAACAGACATCAGATGAAATCATCGGGAATCGAGAACAGGATGAATTTGAGTCAAAATCTCACACAGTGGATGAAACACAAGATATTGAAAAAGGAAATGGAATTATTTCCTGCGAGGTTTGTAAATTAAAAAATGAAATCTTCTATCCAACAAAATGAGAATTTCCAAAAATAATACCTCGGAAACAATACCGCTCTACTTTTGTGTTTGCTATATATACTATATTTTATATAACTGCTATTAAAATGCAAACTGAATTCCTCTGATTCTTACTGTATTATTAAAACGGATAAATTTTACATTTATTGTGATTACATTGAATCATTCAGGAAAACATTGCATTTGAGCTCAAGAATGACCTTGAGTCGATTCATCATAAGTTAAAGAAAATGGATCAACGACAAAGAGAGGAATTTATTTTTGAAAGTGAAACTAGTATTTATTGGGTGAGATGAAGTTTTTTATTTATTTAATTAAATAATACTTTATTTACGTGGCTATCTGGCTTCAATAATCATCTATGCTTTTTATTTATGAAGGTTCAAAGTAGAGTTTATATATACCAGATGTGAAGACAATGATATAAAACTTGATCAAGTGTCAATGTATACACACTAAATAACATTAAATTTTCAGATCGTTATGTCCTGTATTTATTTTTTCTTAGATTCTGGAGAAATTAAAACAAGAGAAAAGTAGACTTGATGAAATGGTATTTTCAAAAAATTCACCCAAAAAAGAATCTGTGCCAAGGAAACAAAAACTGAAAAATCCGTTTCGGTGGATCCGATCAAAAGTTTCCTCAAATTTGCATAAAAAGGACGAAGACCATTCAAAGATTCTACTCTTATCATCACTGAAAAAAGTGGAATTGAGAATGGAATTGGAAGAAAATCGACTCCAAAAGCATAGAAAACTTCTATCACAAATTGAAGAAGAAGAGCGCAAAAGGAAATCGGAAGCTCGTATAGAAATATTAAATCTGAAGAGATGCATTGTGGAAAACACGAAACGGGGAATGAAACTCCGAAAACTTATTATAAACAGCAAACACAAAGATGACTCAGGAATCCACTGCCACGATTGTATATTCAATCTACATGCAAGCATTTGGAAAGACTCAATCCCTGTTTTTGAAAATCCAATTCTAACTGAAATTGATGGATTTCTACCTTGCTGCCCCACAGTGATGGTAATTAATATGAAGTATGAAAATCTAGAACTTGACAACAATGACATTGAAATTGATCTAAAACTAGACAGAGTGAAAACATTGCAAAAAGAAATTCAACACGGATTATTCAGAAAAACCTATTTACATCAAGGACGATTTACTTTATGAATGTGTGAAACAAATTTATTAATATTCTACTACAAATTGTTTTACGTTTTCGCGAAACAAGTACGTATGCCAATACCTTTGTTGCATATTTTTTATTATTATTATTGTTTGTGAAGTATGTTATCGCCTCATTTTGGCTCAATTTTGTGTGATTGATAATATACTCCCACATCCTATTTCAGTTGGTTGTTCTTGTGTTTATTTTAGAATGAACTGACACATGTCGCTAAATGGAGTGCGTCCCCAAACACGCGTGTACTGTATAGGCATGTTTCATCAAGTATAGTCTACTCTACAAAACCGCTGAGATCGCATACCAAAGTTGCACCGACATTTTTTCATTTCATGATACCCTCCTAAAAATGTATGACCAGACTAACAAAGTGTGCTTTGAATGCATACGCAAACGAGAGTACCTCATGCCCAGTGGTGAGATTCAGCTTGTTCTAAAGAATCGTCTCACGGAATTTTACGAGATGGGTTAGCTCTACTGATAACTGTCAATGTTCTGTTTGAATCCCACCACTGCTCATGCCTACCAGTTTGTGAACATGGAACACTACAGAAAACGGTATGAACAAACATTCTCTTTGGATAAAAAAAAATATATCGCTCGCGCGACGTAAGTTACCTATTGGCGCTATCGTGTCTTATTGCTGTGCATGTGTGTGATTCGTTCACATGACTATAGAAGTTAAGACTTTGTTGTTCCGCAGCTGAGTTTGGGACTTTAATGACTCATTGTTACAGGGAGTGATCTCATTAGCGGACACACATGAACAACTTCTTACAATTTAACTCGAGATAATGTAGAAGATTTATGCCTGTATTTATTTCGGAATTTATGTCGCGCTCAAAACAATTTTTGTAATAAAAGAGCAGAACTGTACCTAAAATAGAAAGTTATTTGAAGTATATTTCTATTGTAAAGCAGTCGGTATGCAGTTACCAAACAGTTGATGATGCTTAGGCTACTGTAAGTTTAAAAGATAAATATCTTTGATAGAAGATGAAATGCCGAGGTAGAAATAGTTTTGATTCAAGTACGTAGTGTATTTATTAGTAGTAAATAGTTCTAGACCGCATGGTTGAACTAACTAGCTAAATCGTAGTTGAGTAAGAGTTACGTTCGTTTAAATATTATTATTAAATAGAAGGTTACGAACACCTTCAGGGCTCTTTCGACAGGAATGTCGTTTGATTTAGCAAAGAATCGTATAATCACACTGTTCATTGTTATTGTATACAGAAAGCAGATAAACCACTAATTCAAATAGTCGATATTGTGTATAGTAAATGTTTCTATCGCTTTCGAATACGAAATACCTTAAAAACATGGAGGCCTTTTTGCATAAGCATTTTTTAGATTTAGAGTACCCTTCTGTACTGTTTTCTTGATTCGGCACAGGCCTGTAACGCATTAGTGGGATTCATGTGGTTAGTGCGGGTTCGCGGAATGCCGTAGTAATCATCGATCTTGATCTTGTTTTGCAATCTTGGTCAGCAATTACCTATATGCGTAGTTCTATTTTTAGAGATATGTCAACATTTGTTTTCAGAGAGCAATCTATCAGTTTTTTTACTCTACTTTTACGATATTACTCTACTTTTAAATATTCAAAAATAGTTATTTCCGTTAATTCATGTTCTTATCATTTTTGTGGGTTATTTCTTTACCATCATATTTATCCTCTATTTTTTGATAATCCACGCACAAAATATTTGTGAATCATCGATAAAATTCTAAGTCGAAATAATTGGCACTGGGTGTTGCTATCAAAATAAAGGGTGTCTTTTTCCCAGATTATATATACCAGCAATAAGCAATAAGCATGGTTCGTAATTTCAACCTAGGTTTGTGATATTTGGGCTAGCACAATTCGCGTCAGTGTGGCAAGTTTTTGAAATTGACTAACATTAAATGATTGAATCAAAGAAGCACTATTTACTTTTCTTTGTACACGCCCGAAATTTTGTCAAATATGACTGATGGTCTTGTCTCTGGTACCACACTCTTTTTAATTAAACATCTTAGCGTACCCGTGAATTGACTTTTCGCGCTTCATTTCAAATTTAACATATTGCTGCTAAGTTCATAAAACAATCCTTAATCGTTATTTATCAAAAATACATTTCATTTTATGTACCGCTAGTAAATAGGATGTGCTGAGTTGTTTTAAACCATTAACCAATCGCCGCAGGCTTGCTACATAAACATACATATGAGAGAAAATTTGCGAAGAACTGAAAATGAACCCCAGAATTTGACGAAAACGTATACCTACTATATGCTCGGTCAGTCGCGTACTTGTAACACTCAGTGACGCACAAAGTGTATAATTTGCTGTTGGTGACATTAGCAAGGTTGAAGAGTTCCAATGAGTTTACGATATAAAAATATACTGTTGAGAGTCTCCTTGCCCCGAGCAACGCGATGGAGGTGTATGGATACATCAATGACTTGATTTATATATATTATTTATAGATTTAGAGCAAGATATGAGATAATTTTATGTAACTTGACTAGCGAAATCAAATTATAAAACCAGCATTTTTCAAAAATTTCCTATTTCATAACGACAGTTTCAAGAAAGAGTATGAATCCCGACTACAGTGCAACGAATCATGCTTTTGATTCCGTGAGTAATAATATACTTTTTTTATGAGACCCAAATCAAATTTTGTAGATTTCATTTCTTTGATACAGCCTGTTGAGAAATTGAAAACTTATTATAATTACAGTAGGCAGTAGCTACAGTAGGCACAATTATCGGCGCCCCGTAGTATGTGAACCAGGATGGCGGACACCGGAACGTAGTTTGTGTACCAGGTTAGGGTTAGGACTTAATTTTATTCGAATTTTAGTTCTATTAAGAGTTTGGGCAGTAGCCAAGTGACACCCGTAGTATTTGTACTCGAAATTATGGCCTAACCCTAACCTGGTACACATACTACGTTCCGGTGTCCGCCATCTTGATTCACATACTACATGAGTACCCAATTATACCATTTGTATTTTCTCAGGAGGAAAGCCCAGCAGCAGACACGAATGGAAAAGTGGATGACATCAATATTCAACCCGAGGTTATTCAATCCATTAACGAAAGCAAATCATCGCCAGAGAAGAATGAACTGGGATTATTATATAAATTAGAAGATAGACCTGCTTGGCACATATCGGCTTTTCTAGGAATTCAGGTGGATTTTGATGTTTATTTTTAACAGATCTTTTGCAATTCCAGCGACTCTACTGTTTTTCTGAATAGAAAAGAAATTCAGCACTATTCGCTATTTCGGAAGGCCTATTTTATCAACATGTCTTATTTATACACTGCAGACGTTTCCACTTGTCAGCGAATGTGTTGGGCTAGTTTTTTCGCGCAGCTTACGACTATTTATAATTATCTTTTATCTATAGTTATTTCCTTGTAAAATAAGACTTTTTGGCGCGCTAATGCTATATTTTGAGTTATCGGTATCCTTACTGATCTTAATCGGAAGTCTGCGGTCTTGTATTGATTCTCATGTAACTACGAAGGATTCATCTCATCCTTTCTCTTTGTGAAATTGTAATTAAATTAACCTTTTTCTATTTTGAAGTAACGCATTACGAGCATGGTTGACTTGCAAGTTAATTACAGAAATACAAAGTTTTAAATAACGGGTTATCGACTTACACTAGGTTTATTTAATAATTTCACTAAAAAGACTTAAAATGTCGTGTAATCACAAAGGTCACATAAAATAAACAATGAACTATGATCAGAATCAAGTGGCGGTTGAAGTAGTTGAATGTTCGTCATATTTCTTTGAGAAGGCCTTTATGAAAATATATTCGTTATTTCTCAAACTGTTCGGTAATTTATAATTATTTGGAAATTTATTACGCGTTATAACATTTGTTATAACTAGTCATTGCAAACGAGTTTATATATTGTATAGTGTATTTTGGTATTTCCATCTGCTCTAAGTGAGCCTAATGCTAAATACTCGACGTTGAGTCAAACTCGATGTTACTATCGAAACCCAACAAGTACGTTATCATGTTTTAAATTCTTGAAAATGGCTTGAAATACGAACGGGATTATCAATCTTGTCAGTTATGCATTGAATTGCCTCGCGCAATTTTCTCCAATATTTGTTTTTATGAGTTCAAATAAAACGACAAAAGTTGATTGATGGAATATTTTGTGTAATTTTTTGTTGAGGCAGACGAAAAAATACACGGTAGCGGGCTCGGGATTTCTGAGTAAACTTTCTAACTGAAAAGAATCCTTTAAACTTGCAGCAGCGGTTTTGTAAAATGTTTACCTCCTTTGTTTCTTTGTTCCGAAAAAGATTAATCTTTATTTTGAACCTGAAAAGGACAAAGGTGTGGTTGCTTTACGATTTTTATAGCTAGAATAAACTGTGTAAACCGCCGAAAAATACCTAAAAGTACACAATTAAAATACACGTCTATTTATCTGCGATCGATCTCCACAAAAATTTCAATTAAATTCTGACAGCTTCCCATTACTTCCAAATTTCATATTATATATATCATATTTTCTTATGTCACTGACTCTGCGACGTTAAGAATTCTTGGCAGACCTGGGTTCACATGAAAAAAAAACTGTTATAGCTCATTGTTTTCAAAAAAATAATAGAATGCTTCATATTCATCCCGGGAAAGACGGTTTAATCATATGGAAAACCACGACTTATTTTTCTAGAACCCGTCCACCACGGGTATGGGGATAGGTATATTTGTTAACTGTTATTGCCGTAACCGATCAGTGCTTGCACTTCCCTTCGGAAGTGCGGAGTTCAGCAATTATTTACGACATAATTATAATTATCGATCGCGGGATTCGGACCTGTGAACACATTAAAGATAATCTGTGATAGCAAGCGCATGAGTCGGGCTATTCCAAGTGACACTACAGGACAATTCCAGAAATTTTTCATGTTGTTAGATGCAATATATTTTTACATTTTCAGCTACATGTTTTGTTTCATTGTCCAATCAGTTGCTTTATTGAATATGGAAAAATTGCACAAAAGTTACACCCAAGGTATACTTAGTGGATATAAAAAAAATATAGTGAAATATAGCGTGACACTACAGGACGGCAAATCCACCATGCATTAACGTTACTTTGTGTTGTGCTGTAAATTTTTGCGATGGTACAGCAGGAGCCCATAATATTTTCTGGTGCAGTAGCTGAAGGACCCCTCTATGTGTTGCTCAATTCACCTAATGTAACAGTGTAAATCCATGCCAATATCCATGCATTAACGTTACATTGTGTTGTGCTGTAAATTTTTGCGATGGTACAGCAGGAGCCCATAATATTTTCTGGTGCAGTAGCTGAAGGACCCCTCAATGTGTTGCTTCACCTAATGTAACACTGTAAATCCATGCCAATAATGTGCCTATTGTATGTGACACCACAGGACATTTTTCCACTTCGGCCTCTATCATCTCTCATTCTGGTAATAAATCGTTAAATGGGTGAAGAAATATCCTACAGCACTGCAAACATTTAAACTTTATTAACTTAAATTCAGTGAGTCCATTTCATATGAAATAACTGTATCACACAATCTAACACTTTGTGTCACGAATCATCACAAAATATGTCAATTATACCAATATTTCTACATTTTAGGCCATTTTTTAAAAACCATCAAAAACCTGGGTGAAATTTTAACTTTTTCGGTAAAAGGAATGCAGTCCAATAAAATTCCAATGTCATTTGATATAAAAAATACATAAAAATTACTTTCACTACACTTTTAAAAATGTTGATGAAATTCAACTTTTGCTTGGAATGGCCCATTCATAGCACATAACATGGTACGCAAACCTTCCAGTCACGCAGTTTCACGTTTTTTTTTAATAAACGAACCGTTATTTACAATATTATTATTTCTATAGCATTGTTTCCTTGCAATAGGAGGACTTATAGGAATGCCCCTACTTTTGGCACCGAGAATGTGCATGACCGATACTGCTGTGGGATATCTCGGTAGAGCAATGGTGTTGAATAGTTTATTCTTCATTGCGGGAATCTTAACCTTTCTACAAACAACATTTGGGACAAGGTATGAACGTATGGATATATGAAAATGCTTTTAAGAATTGGAATATTGAAATTAATCTAATTTATTATTTATACAAGATTTAAACGGTAAATTTAAGCTCAATTGAACTCCAATTTTGATGCCCAAAAAAACAAGATTATATTTTATACTTGGATCGAAAAAAGATTCGTTTAATTGAGAGTGAATTAAATTAACAATAATTCAAATTTATTTCCCTTCGGAACGGATCATAAGTCCGAACTGAGATTTTCGCTTTGAACTGCTAAACAATGTCTCACTTATATCATCGCCAGGTTACCGATTCTGCAAGGTGGGTCGTTCACTTTTTTGCCGTCAACACTCGCTATACTTGCACTTCCTCACAATACGTGTCCTCTGGGTCCAGTAAATCCAAATATAACGAATGGAAGTTTTCTTTATAACGATACGGACGGTATGTTGGTCGATGGTACAGAGCTGTGGCAAAGGAGAATGAGAGAGGTCAGTGTCCATCAATATTTATTTGGGGTAGTTATACAAAATGTATATATAATATGGTACTACCCGTTGCAAAAGGTGCGGTTATAGTGCTGCTAGTTCATCTAGCACCGATTTTTGGAATCGTATTCATAAATTTAAACGTTAGATTTTGATGCATAAGACGTTCTAACTAAATGCATAGGCCCACAGCAATGGCTCTTATATAAGAGAATATTTCGAAAGCAATGATGTACTCTCATAATAAAAATGCACGCGAATTTGATATTTTAGTCCAAGTGTAACCGTATCCAAGCATTCGTATCGGCCCTCTCGTTTATAGCCTGATTTTAGCTTTAATTGCATGTTAGGAACGAATCGGTCTTCACAATAGCACAGTGTCTCAGAACGTACGAAAATATTGCTCTAAAATCTTTTAATACCACACGTTCAACCGGTTAACCATCCGAAATAACCTCGTTAACCTTTTTTATACACAAATATAACCGTGCCAATTCCAGAACGATGCTTTGGTCGCTATGTTAACATTGAACGTTAATGAGGGTTTGTTTAAATTACAAAAAACATTCAGAATGAGGTGTGTATGACTATAAAATTAATCTTTAATCGTTTGTATACCATGTTATTTTTTAAATTGCCACGGGTCACCCTTGGCTTTGCGTGTACAACTCGATAGCAAAGTTGTTGATAATAACATTAACTAAGAAAATGGGGATATCAAGTGAGACAGCAAATAATCGGCTTGATGTTGAGAATATTTATATTTATCAATAGCAAAACAAAACGTCAGCGTAGAAATGTATTTTTTTTTTTGATTGAAGTCGGCTTCGTGTCACAGTCCACAGTGCTGAATTTATACCACTGTAGAAGTATACCAAATCGGACCTAAATGCCGAAAACTAATATATCCAAAATATTCCCAGATTCAAGGTGCAATAGCAGTTGCGTCCGTTGTGGAGTTCGTTCTTGCAATAACTGGAGCCATCGGATTTCTCATGAGATTCATTGGGCCCCTCACTGTTGCACCATCAATCGCTCTCATAGGTCTATCCCTATTTAATGCTGCGTCATACAACGCTTCAGGACAATGGGGAATTGCAGTTTTGTGAGTAAAATTTGTATTCTATGTGTGGTTTTATGTGATTTTATTGTAATCAAGGAATCAATATTACATTTAATCAAAATAAATAGTATCACTATAGGTAATGTATTTCGAGGTAAATTTTATTTTTATTTTTTGTTAATATGCTCGTATTAATTAGCTTCAGTTTTTTGAGTAAAATTTCTAAGGTAGGCATAATATATGCTTTAACTTTCACGCTGTAAGCTAGAACTGAGCAACTTTCAATGTACCTCTTTTCCATTGCGACAAAGCACCGGAAAGATCGTAAGAACCGAGCGAACAAGTTGACGTCTAATAATAAATATGTATAAGTCGTCTTCGGAAAAGAAATTTCAATTCATTAATTCAATTTTTTATTTTTAATTATCATATTCAGCACTATTGTGGTTTTGATCATTTTCTCACAATATATGCGAAATATTAAACTTCCTGTTCCGGTGTATACAAGAAGTAAAGGTTGCCACGTTGTCAAAACAAACTTTTTTAAACTTTTTCCGGTGAGTCTGATTGAATTTATCATAGATTTATATTTTTTCCAATGCATTTGACAGCATGGTTCTGTTTATTTGTTAACAATTGCCCTTAATATTGAATCTATACTGCAAATATGTTTACAATTAGCAGTAATCGGTATTTGTGTCATAAATTACTCGTATGATTTATAACATCCCGTTTTTATATAAGATATACCTGCGATAATTAGTTATATTTATATATATCATTTATTCACTACATGTATGTGTACTGGTGGGGTGTAGATCACCCAAATGCACCGATAATCAAAGTGTGTGTTTGCGATTTATTGATTTGATATGTGGGTATATATATATGTATGTTTTTCTAGAAATTTGTCGTTTCGTAAAATATCTAAATGTAGTTATTAGACAGTTTATCCCATTCCCATATCAAAACCAATTGAGCAAAATTTTTGTTCAAATTTTTGTCCATTGGTAAGACAGCGATTAGATTGGATAATACCATCATGCAACCTCAAAATAGTTCAGATTACTGGTGTAGTAGATTATCCTTAACCGCGATGTCGACATAACAAGATTACTTCGTATTGTAGGTGCTGATTACAATAGTGCTGTCATGGCTTCTGTGTCTGATTTTGACTGAAACTGGCGCCTTACCGGATAATCCCAATGAAGTTGGATACAGAGGAAGAACTGATGTACGAATCAGCGTTCTACAAAACAGTCCCTGGTAACAGAGTTAGTTACTAGTTTTAAGAATATGATGTAAGATTTGCATATTTGTGTTGACACGAAGTAAACATATAGATAGTTTTGCTAACTTTTATTGTTGTAATATTGTTGAACATAAAATCAACTACTCGGTCAATCGCATTTTTTCAGTAGTTAAAGACCTAGCGGCAACGTATACCAGGCGGATGATACTTCCAAGTTAACTTAACATTTACGCTTAGCTATTTATTTATTTATTCATATATATGTAGTCCTAATTTGCACTGTGATGTTTTCAAAAATGTGACATTTTGCTCTATCATGCATGGTGGTGGGGTGGTAAAATTGTAAATAAGAATGGAACGTGAAAGCATTCGCCAATGTCGTTGTAACGGCGCATATTGGGTTGTTTACGAATTGCTGCGCCAATTATGGTCGACAATGATTACATTCGCTGTTTTTCGAATCTTTTATGCTGAAATAATTAGGGCGTGACGTCAGCAAATCGTTAAGTGAAGTGTTGAATCTGTAAATTCCGTAAATGCAATTGTGAATTTCTCGGTAATATTTCAGCTAGGATAATGGTTGTGGTATTGTTTTGTTGGAAAATAATACAAAAAAAATATAACATTATTTAGTTATAATTAGTGCTTAACGCGCTTTATGGGTAGAATAATGGCACGGTACATCCTAAAATCATGTACATAGATTTGTGCGGTGATCTCTTGTATATCAAATTACAAGAGCAAAATTCGTACCGATTCACACCCATTTTTATTGCAAAACTAATATTATGGCGTAGACAGGTTGCGTATTTTATATTAGGTAATGGTAATACCATGTTAAAATACTGTCCATTTTTCTAATATTAATGTTTTTGCAAAGGTTTCGATTTCCTTATCCTGGACAATGGGGATTGCCCACCGTTAGTGGTGCAGGAGTCGCGGGAATGTTGGCCGGAGTTTTAGCGGGAATCGTTGAATCAATTGGTGACTACTACGCATGTGCAAGAATGTCAGGAGCGCCACCCATACCCGACCACGCAATAAATAGGTGAGAACATTTTTAATAAAGGTAGGTAGTTTTAGGGCGCTCCAGAACTATGTGTACCGATATGGAGGTAACTAATTTTGTTCGCCTACTTTACATCAAGTTGTGTAAAGGGACTGAAACCTATGGGCGAACCTATATATTCACTTGGCTAACACAGACAGTCCCCGAACACGTAATAGAACTAAAATAAGGAAAATCGGAATAAAATTATGACCTAACCTCAACCTGGTACCCAGCACACTACGGGAGTACCATTTTTAGTATATATATAAGGTCTGAAAACGGTTTGTAGAGTCTTAGCCACAGTGACACATTTTAATTTGAAATCTTTTCACAACAGAAAATAATTTTATTTATTCAGCTTCTTCTCCCACCCTCTGAACCCTTTTCGGTCGCATAAAAATGTTATTTGTCTACCATTTTTGCGTGAGATAGATGCCTCATTTTTTCATATTCACTTTCCGGAACCGTTTTTATATTTACGTTTTAAGTTGTTGATAGAAACTTTTAGTTTGTGGTCGCAGGTGAATGTTACTGGTCTACAATTTCTGTTTATCTGTTTATTTCATATCTGCCTCGAAGCACCGTTTTTTCTTGTTGTGTCGTTGAATAAAACCTATATTTATATAGGCTCAGCCGAATTTTCGGAAACATGATCAACCTGGATGCCTTCTTGTTAGCTTTCATTTTGTTGTGCCACGATAAACAAACGCCGCCGCGGCATGGCCCAAATAAATTTTTCTGGGTATTTTTTAGAGGCTTGGCGATCGAAGGTTTTGGATGCATCCTAGCTGGTGTTATCGGTACTGGAACTGGATCCACTTCTTACAGTGAAAACATCGGAGCGATCGGTATATCACGCGTCGGCAGCAGAAGGGTAAGAACAATCAATCAAGTTTGTCAAGAAGCAATTACTGACTTTGTGGACACGAAATGGACCTATGGATCTTTTTGTTGAATTGTTGTTGTTATTAGTATTCTTCTTCTTATTATTGTTGTGAAAAAACCGCCTTTCTCCTCGACTATGGGACAAATTGCTTTGATACTTTCAGAGGTCAAAGATTGTTGTTGTCGCTAGAAAGATATTGTTTATATTTATTTCCAAAATTTCCGTGGGCTCTATGGAATTCGTTTTGCACTTCGAAGTTTTTGTGTAACGACGTCATCAAAATTACAAATTGCGTAATGTATGGCGGTTACACCTAGTATACCTGTAAGGTATATTTGGTATTTGTAACATCATATCATGGGGAATTACGAGTCAAAAATTCTGTTTTGGCCTTTGTGTCCATATATTTGAGCATTATACCTTTGTTTTACCAATTTATGGAGCCATTCCACATTAGAGTCTAATAATATTATCATTTCAGGTACTGCAAGTAGCAGGAGTGATATTTTTCATCGTTGGAATGTTTGGTAAATTCGGAGCTGTTCTTGTTCTCATACCGGATCCGGTGATAGGTGGATTGTTCTGCGTAATGTTTGGTATGATTGCTGCCGTTGGATTGTCAAACTTACAGCACGTTGACTTAAATTCAGCCAGGTATTAGAAACAAGTACAGCGTTAGAATAAAGTTACTAAAACAATTAGGTACTCCTGTAGTATGTGAAGCAAGATGGCGGTCACCAGAACGTAGTATGTGTACCAGGTTAGGGTCAGGCCATAATTTCAGGTACAAATACTACGGAAGTCACTTGGCTAGTCCCCGAACTCGTAAGTCGTAATAGAATTAAAATAGGGAAAATTAGTAATAATAAAATTATGTCCTAACACTAACCTGGTACACATTTTTAATATTATTTTCTTTTCCTCAAGGAATTTATTCATCATCGGATTTTCCATTTTCATGGGATTGATGGTGCCGATTTGGGTGACAGCAAATTCAAAAGCCATTGATACTGGAAACAAGCAAGTGGATCAAATTTTTCTTGTGTTGTTGGAGACATCTATATTTGTAGGCGGTGCGCTCGGAGCAATATTGGACAACACAATTCCAGGTTTGCTTTGGTATTGATTGATGACTATTGTTACGTGAATAAAAGCCACGTTATCTTGTTACGATTTCACAATAAAACCTCAATTGTGTCGTTTTTTCTAGCAGTACGCGAACATGATAAAATGTCATAAGCTTTGTCTGCGTCACCTGGACGTTAAATTATATGTGTTAAATCGTATATGTAACCGAAACTCATATATATATGAAAATTTATGACTTAGCACTGATCATACAGCAAACGACATGCTTGATTTTATTTTTCCGACGTTTCTCATTGGGGTAATATTTTGTATATACACTTCGGATGATAATTTATGTGTTGTTTCAAAATAAAAATTTTGTGATATTCCTAACTCATGACGTGTTAGGCGCGGAATAACTTTCCCACTCTTAGTTTTATTTATTTCGTAGTTTGTCAAACAATACCCTCAAGCTTACAAGTATTGCATAAAACAGCCTGGGAAACTTGTGTCTCACCTTGGTGTATAGTGTATACAAATGAAAGATTTGATCTGACGATACATATGTGTTTGATAATTTATCTAGGTACTCCTGAGGAACGTGGACTAACGTCGTGGAACAAAGCATCGTTGGAGTTTGAAAGTGAGAATATGCCAGCGGCTGAATACAAGAAATATAAAAAAAGAATGGAAAATTGTTACAACTTGCCATTTTCTACAAAATGGAGGTAAAATTATGACTTCAGTATCAAAATACAGTAGATGCCAGAAAAAGTTTTATTATTATTATCGTAGTGTTTTAATTGCAAAGTTAGTGTTGAGTTAAATTCGAATTTAAAGTTGTATACTGTTGAATGATAATTCAGTTATAAATATGATATATATCCTAATAATATTTTGCATAATAATATTTTAGGTTTTCAAAATATATTCCTATTTTACCGGAATTCCGCAAGAAACAACATGATGAAGACGAAAACACTCAACTGTAGAATGCGGGTCTATATTTAGAAAAAAAAGATATATCTGTGTCTGTAGAAATAAATTATGTACCAATCTTTTATGCATGCTACTAACATTCAGTGTTTTAAAAATTTTTCAACAAATATTGTATATACATTATGAGTATATTATATATGGGGCGTCAGTGGTATGCAGATTCAAAATCAAAAGGGCAGAATATTCTCATGATAACCAAATGCTAAATAATTCCGTTACCGAAATCGTTTTGCTGAATTGGTTCGGTTAAATCTCAACACTTCAGGCTCAAAAGCGATGAAACTTGTTGAGATTATATTGCCCGAGTTCTTCGAGGGCATTTTGAAGGCAGTGATAAAATAAAGTACACCAGCCTCAGTATGAAATCTACTCGATATTTAGTTTTTGGGCTTATTCAGTACCAAAAATAGAGCTCATGGAAAAAAAATTCACTTAATATCATTAAAATGATCATATTAATGATTGCAAATATATAGCCTGCTCTGCTAGAGCGAAACATTCTTCAATGTAGTTTTCCAACGACATTTCAATAAAATATGCAAATAATATATTGCTACCAGTGTTTAAAAAACAGACAGATTTTTAGTTAAATCTTTGAGGTTTTGAATAATATGTCTTGAGTCTTCCCAACTATGGTAGCCATTGTTAGAATTACTTAACAGATGATGGCGGCAACGACCTCACAAGCAAAGTTGAAGTTGCGCTTCTTCTGAGTTGGAATTATTATTTTTTTTTAAATAGGTAAAATAATGTTCACTGCAAGTACTGTTCGCAAGCATACATTTTATCCCCGTTCGAAAATTGTATATATATATATATATGTATTGGAATATCGTTATCGGCAATTTCAAATATTGTTATCGGCAAATTTTCATTGGAATCGGCAAAAAAGTGATATCGGTACATCTTTACAGTAAACAACCAGGCTATGTTTTGTCAATGGAAGAAGGTTTGAAAACCACAAGCTAATTTTGGATCAATAATGAAGACCTCTTCCTAAATTTCGATTGACTGACAATGGAAGCAGAATTTTTTTTCGAGTATGCAAAGAATTCACTTTTTCTGCTACACAGATTGCCGGCTAATAATTATTAGTTTCAAAATTTGTATGGTTCCACGCATTTTAATTAGAAATATTCAAATGGAAAAACACACACATTAGCTGAAAATTACACAAACATAATATATATATATGTAAGTACCGGTTAGGATGACTATCAATAGAAGTAAAATAAAAAGGGAATTCTCAATTCTTATTTATATATATATATGTATATAATGTAATATAGACGCGTAAACAAGATCACACTATAGAGTCTCTGATTGATTTCACAAAGTAGTCAGTCACAACTCACAAGAGCGAGGGGTTGGTAGCCTAAAAGTCTCATTGCGAGTAGCACATTACATTACGGAGAGTGATGCCGCATTTGGAACAGCGCATTGGGCACAATGCGAGATTGCATTAGAAGCAGCGGATTGGGCACAGTGAGGCCGCATTCGGAGCAGCGCATTGTGCACAGTCAGGATTGACAATTCATCCATCCATTTTACCATTGTTTATGAAATCAATAATGACAAGCCAGACTCGACTTTTAGATAGTAGCAATAGCAACAGTGATTCGACTTGACTTGGTATTCGAATTTGCTGGAGCTCGGCTGGTGATACGTTACTGTAATTTGCTCTTTGCGAGCACCGCATTATGAGCAGCGAATTGGGCACAGTGAGGCCGCATTAGGGGCAGCGCATTACGCACAGTGAGGCCGCAGAGGACCTGGAGTCTGGCTCGTCATTATAGATTCCATTAACATTTTGGTCGAGTCAAAAAAATAGTGCCCTGGGGGCTAATAAAATTCAATTTTTACGTCACCGTCGACAACAGCCATCATCAAAAGAGAGTCGAAGGCTGAGAAAAATAAATTGTTTTCTTTACCCTTGCAAAATTTTTGGGGCTATTTTAAGAGTTGGCGCCTGCAAAATGGGGTATGTATTTCAAACCATCATTATGATTCATCACATACAACAATCTGTTTTTTTAAAAGTACCGGTGAAAAATTTCAGCCTAGTCTATCACAGCTATTTCTACACTCTATAATTTTTTTATTACTGCAATTAAATTAAAACTCCTAGGAAGACAGAGGGATCATTGAATTATCTGATTTATATTTAAGTTTCCGAAACACAACAGAAAACTAACGGATAAAGTTCAAAAACGCGAAAACGAGGTAATGTTTACGACCACGCTTAAAAATCTGTCTGAGTGAGAAAAGTGTCTGAGCGGATGCGAAAAGGAGCATTGTACGTCACATTTTGCATCTTGCTGATTGGACAATGTCACGAAGTAAACAAGGGAGTTGATGCTCGGGGAAAGGTTCATTATTATACATACAGCGTTAATTGCTATGTCTGAATGTATCCCGGTATCGAGGGGAGCCCATCATGCTACAGGGGTGGTGATTCCTCTACGGCCCATGGGCCGGGGCCACGGCCCATCTAATTGGGCCACATGGGCCGTGGCACATCAAGCTATGGGCCGCGGCCCCATCAAGAAAAGTTCAATTATCTTACCAAAATTTTCAATTTTCACAAAATTGTAAATATTCGAACCAAGAAAAAAAAATCGTGGGATGCCACCAATTTTTTTTCTTACGATAAGCCTCCATATAAAAACAAGAGAGCTATGCTCAAATATATGGACACGTAGCGCCACCCAGTGGCAATAAATTTGATGGCGTCATAGCGAAAAAAAAAAGTAATAGCCTTCTGGAGAAAATTTTTATCTTTAACCACTAAAAAATTTCCAACTAATTGGTCCAGTATTCGAAGAGAAAAGCGACTTTTTAAAAACGTGTCAAGCGGTACTGAGTTAGCAGTCAGGCAGCATCTTACCTGTACACTGTAGGCCATATACGGTAATTGATCACAGAACAGTTGTTCCCTTGCAAATTTTATGTTGTTTACGCTTTAGGACAGATAATTGATCACAGAACAATTCTTCCCTTTCAAATTTTATGTTGTTCCCAGTAGACTCTCATCAAAATAAACAAATATAGTAGGCTACAAGTGCTACAACGCTTGCATTACTGCACTGGTAGGACCGTGAAAGAATAAGTTACGGTAATTTCATTGTGGTAAGACACCGGCACCAGTACCAGTATCGTACTTACGTACTGAGCTACCAGTACCGGTACCGAACCTGTAGGTCTGATATTCCGTTCCGCATACGATAGGCTATAAAACTTGCATTGCAGCATTAGTAATACCGCGGAAGGAATAAGTCAATTTCACTGCGTTACGGTACCGGTATGGCAACTTACCAGTACCGACCTACAGTAGCTGTAGTACTGAGCAAGACAATCGATCGCGAAACCGCTTGAAATAAGTGTAAAACAGTGTTCCCATGAGTAAAAATAAATACCGCGAAATTTTGTATGAAATATCATATCTCATAGGATTCATATAAAATTTAAGAATAAACAAAAGTAATAGCCTTCTAGCGAAAAAATTAATCTTTAACCACTGAAAATTTCAAAGCAATTGGTCCAGTATTCGAAGAGAAAAGCGACTTTTTAAAAACGTGTCAAAGAACAAGAACAACATAATATTGAAACGATCGTTATGTCCACTACGTGTCCAATAACAACAAGAGAGCTATGCTCAAATATATGGACACGTAGAGTCACATAATTTTGATGACGTCATAGCGAAAAAAAAGTAATAGCCTTCTGGAGAAAATTTTTATCTTTAACCACTGAAAATTTCAAAGCAATTGGTCCAGTATTCGAAGAGAAAAGCGACTTTTTAAAAACGTGTCGAAGAACAAGAACAACAACATAATATTGAAACGATCGTTATGTCCACTACGTGTCCAACAAAGAGATGAGAGCTGAATTCACGGCGGTACCGGTACCTAACGTAGGTGCGGTACTGAGTTAGCAGTCAGCTAGCATCTTACCTGTACACTGTAGGCCATATACGGTAATTGATCACAGAACAGTTGTTCCCTTGCAAATTTTATGTTGTTTACACTTTAGGACAGATAATTGATCACAGAACAATTCTTCCCTTTCAAATTTTATGTTGTTTCCAGTAGACTCTCATCAAAATAAACAAATATAGTAGGCTACAAGTGCTACAACGCTTGCATTACTGCACTGGTAGGACCGTGAAAGAATAAGTTACGGTAATTTCATTGTGGTAAGACACCGGTACTGGCACCAGTACCAGTATCGTACTTACGTACTGAGCTACCAGTACCGGTTAGCAGTCAGCCAGCATCTTACCTGTACACTGTAGGCCATATACGGTAATTGATCACAGAACAGTTGTTCCCTTGCAAATTTTATGTTGTTTACACTTTAGGACAGATAATTGATCACAGAACAATTCTTCCCTTTCAAATTTTATGTTGTTTCCAGTAGACTCTCATCAAAATAAACAAATATAGTAGGCTACAAGTGCTACAACGCTTGCATTACAGCACTGGTAGGACCGTGAAAGAATAAGTTACGGTAATTTCATTGTGGTAAGACACCGGTACCGGCACCAGTACCAGTATCGTACTTACGTACTGAGCTACCAGTACCGGTACCGAACCTGTAGGTCTGATATTCCGCTCCGCATACGATAGGCTATAAAACTTGCATTGCAGCATTAGTAATACCGCGGAAGGAATAAGTCAATTTCACTGCGTTACGGTACCGGTATGGCAACTTACCAGTACCGACCTACAGTAGCTGTAGTACTGAGCAAGACAATCGATCGCGAAACCGCTTGAAATAAGTGTAAAACAGTGTTCCCATGAGTAAAAATAAATACCACGAAATTTTGTATGAAATATCATATCTCATAGGATTCATATAAAATTTAAGAATAAATAAAAGTAATAGCCTTCTGGGGAAAAATATAATCTTTACTCACTGAAAATTTCAAAGCAATTGGTCCAGTAATCAACGAGAAAGGCGATTTTTTCATAACGATACCAAGAAGAAGACAAATAAGAACAAGAACAACAAAAATACCAAAACGATCGTTATGTCCACTAACGTGTCCAACAAGAGAGCTACGCACAAATATATGGACACGTTAGACCAGAGCGAATCAGTCCTTACCGGTACCTTTGACGCTACCGGTACCCTCAAAAAAGTTCTGAATTTCCAGTAGCAAGAATTTTGCAAAATCAAAACGTACAGCCAGTCACGACACTGACTAAAATCCGTGTTCCCATGGATAAAAAATAATACAGCAAAATTTTAAACGAAATATCAAATTTCATAGAATTCACGCAAAATTTTGAAACAAATAAAAGTGATAGCCTTCTAGCGAAAAAATTAATCTTTAACCACTGAAAATTTCAAAGCAATTGGTCCAGTATTCGAAGAGAAAAGCGACTTTTTAAAAACGCGTCAAAGAACCACAACAACAACAACATAATATTGAAACGATCGTTATGTCCACTACCGTACGTGTCCAATAAAGCAAAATACTAGGCTACAGAAAAGGATACTCATGTGGTCTGTGTACCAGGTTAGGGCAATGAGCATGTATATATGCTCATTGGTTAGGGTTGGGACAAAATTTTGTTCAGATTTTTCACATTATAGTTCTATTATGAGTTCGGGGACTGTCTGTGTTAGCCAAGTGAATAGTCCCTTTGCACAACTTGATGGGCCGCGGCCCGTAGCCTGAGGGGCGAGGCCCAATTCGATGGGCAGTGGCCCCGGCCCATGGGCCGTAGAGGAGTCACCACTTCCACTCCCATCATGCGCACTGCTGCAATGTGCACCCTTTTATGAGATTGGCATCAGGATTTCGATTTTAGCAGTTCAGTGGTTGATGAACAAATTATATGACAGTGCAACATCAACGGAACAGATTTAATTCAAGGAAAACATTGGTTACCGTACTGTATCGTACCGTAGGCGTACCGGTACCGGTAGCGTAGCGTAAATAACTACATAACTATTGGGCGAATACGGTACGTACCAAACACTTACACTTACACGGTACCGGTATCGAATCATGTGTTTTCGTGATAGCCGATAGGACATCGCCGATAGAAAGGAACATGTTTGAATATACAGATACCGGTATAAATTATATTGTAAAATATCGCGGTATTAGGTAGACTAATACTGTAATAATGTTACATTGTTAAGAGTTAAGACTTCAACAACTATTACTGCATTAATTCATGTGGGTCACGGTATGTAATGAAGCAGTTTTTGAAATGCATTCAATTCAAGTGTTAATGATGAGAATTTTTAAAACTCATGCAGTCATGCATGGCAAGGAGAAGTAATGAAAAATTGAGAAACAATCTTACTGGCTTATGACTTACAGACTTATTATGGTATTTTTGTTGACAAGGCCATAACTGAATAAATAAAAATAGGCCTATAGGCTATGTGCATTGACTTGTATGGCAGTATAGTGGAATCAATTCGGCAAACACAATGGAATTTGCATATTTATAATGGATGTAGGCCTATATCATTTGATTTTTAAGTAGGCCCAATCAACATTCAGACATTGTGAAAATAAAAGGATAACAGAAGCATGACATAGTGAATCTCAGCTGACTCTGTAACTATACAGACAGCAAGGGCAGAAGGGTGATTCAAAGTTGTACACCAGATCCATAATTTACACAGTTATATGAGTAGGCTATATCAGTCCTGCTGCATATAGATACCAACATTACTGCATTATAATCTTATAATAAACAGGTTGTTTATTTCTAAAGATTAGGATTTTTATCCTGATATCAAAAACAGCAGCCAGACAGAATGCTCAAGATAATCCTAAAATTAGCAACCATTGTTTATATCTGTGCAAGATGTTCGGGAATGAATAATGGAGTTGCACGTACACCTCCTATGGGCTGGTTGGCATGGGAAAGATTTCGATGTGTCATAGATTGCAAAACATATCCTGACTCTTGTATAAGTGAAAAGCTCTTCACAGACATGGCAGACAGGTTAATAATTTGTTTATAGCATTTTCTACGGAGATGAGTTCTATACATTTTATGGTAATACTAGAAAACTAGTCAAAACAAAGACTCCCTTGAAATTTCAAATTCAATTTCAATTTTCTGATTTGAAATTTATGCTGGGATGTGCACTAGATGTCAGGCAATTTTTGGGAATGCTTTGGGAATAATAAACAGTTCAGCATTGAATTATCATTAACCCTGTATTCGGTATGATGCGCGATGGCTTATTGGTTGAAGTACTATAGCCTACTTAACTGGGTTGGCATCTCAGGTTCGAATTCCATGTCCACCACATCACCCAGGGTGTAATAAATTGTGTAGGCAATGCTGAAAATAATAGCTCCTGACTATGGGCTGGGAATTTCAGGGAAAACACTTTAACCGTTAACCGGGTAAAATTACCCAGCCCTACTCCTGACACATTGTTGGATATCATATTAGATATATATGCTCGTACAAGGCTCTGTACTGAGCATATATAAGCATTGAAAAAAAAATGGGGCGTACTTTATTCTATTCGATAAACTAACAACGAAGTTTGTTTATCTAGGTTGGTGGAAGATGGTTGGAAGGATGTTGGATATAAACTTGTCAATATAGATGATTGTTGGTCTTCTAAGCAAAGAAATGACGTAAATGAATTGGAGCCTGATCCTGAGAGATTTCCATCTGGAATTCCATATCTAGCAAATTATATGCATATGAGGGTATAATCTTCATATTTTTAAAGAAATTGGAAGTGAATTCATTTGTATAACATTTTATCAGTAATGTAAGACCCATCTCAAATCTCTCTTGTATGAGTGGTTATGTTTTGTTAAAATGAGCATTAGATCTGTGTCATTGCAAGCATTTAAAGTTTAAAAACAGTTGAATCGAATTTGTAGATTGGCCTGGACTGTCTAAAAATTAAGTTGAACAAAACCAAATTCAAAATTATAGTTGTTCATAGGAATTATTTTGCATCGATCGAGGGTTACAGTTACTGTTTCATCCAATTAAAAAATTCAGCCTTACTGTATGTTTATTATGGTGCAAGCTAGTTCTATTTAAATTATTTGAGAAATATTTGGTGATAATCAAAGGTCGAACCTCTCAGTAGAAATTTAAAAAGCATTAATTTGACTGATCATTTTCAACAGTCAATTAAAAAAAGCTTTAATATGTCAAAATTTTTGTTTTGCTTGTCTTTCAAAACTGGAGTCAAGAGCTAAAATTTCCTTAAACCTGGTCCAATTTTTGGAATGGTTATTGATTGAGCTAGAGCCGCATGCAAATGTGGACTCCATATTCCTGTATCCATTGTTAGTACACAAAAAGCTAATATGCACTAGACAGCCCTAAGTATAAAATTGTTGATCTATTATATCCCACAGATGGCATTACTAAAGCATTCTTATATTTTTTCAGGGATTGAAGTTAGGTATTTATGGTGATTATGGTACTCTCACTTGTGGTGGTTACCCGGGATCTATGGGTTATGAAAAAGTTGATGCTCAAACGTTTGCAAGATGGGGTGTCGATATGTTGAAGTTTGATGGCTGCTATTCAAATTCAACTCAGCAAGAGATTGGTTATCCTCTCATGAGTAAAGAATTAAATATGACTGGTCGTCATATGATATACTCTTGTAGTTGGCCTGCCTACCAAGGTGGTTTGCCTCCTAAGGTATTTTATTAGAATTGAATTGGTATACTGTTTTTTGTTTTCAAAACATACTTGTTGCGTCGTATTGAATTGTTTGTTTATAAAAAGTACCGTACTTATTGTGTGATACAGAAGATCGTGTCAGATTTAAATATTGCGTTTTAAAAAATCAATTTGTATTTATTTATCAATCCAGGTTGATTACAAACTTCTAGGAGAAATTTGCAATCTCTGGCGAAATTATGGTGACATTCAGGATTCTTTTGAGTCAGTAATGACGATTATAAATTGGTGGGGCGATAATCAAGATGTTCTTATACCTGCTGCCGGACCTGGAATGTGGAATGATCCAGATATGCTAATTGGTGGTGACTTCTCCCTTAGTTATGATGAAGCTAGACTTCAGTTTGGTGAGTACCATTAAATTTCAAGGTTTTAGTTCCTGATTGTAGGCGTGTGTGCCTTACAAAGTTACAGTTGCTCTTTTTTCCCTGCGCCTGTGTGTTAGTGGATTCGTACTGCAAGGATCAGTTCGGCTATGTTGACTAGTTAACTTTTTAAGAATAATAGATTGATCGAATGACGCATTTGAGAATATATCAAATCATATCACATTTGAGAATATAGCAAATATAAAGATATATAAATAATGCTCAATTGGTACTTATAATCTTATGTAAACATCAGTTATATATTAAAGCATTCTGCTTTGTATTTGCTAAATCCCGATGACAAAGCACAATCTCATTTCCTTTTTACACATTACTCATTGAATGCACCTCAGCTGTGAATTCTCGGAAGTCATATTTAATTGATAATGCTATATGTCGAGTTGCAATCTGCAACCAAAAAAATGTAGCGTTGTTTCACAGTCAGCAGAACCAATAACAATGCATTAACTAACTTGTCAGCATTTACTTGCCATCCGACCTTTTTAATTTACAGATATCTCATTATGGTGTCACACATGATAGATATTTTTTAGAACAATTATGGAGCTATAATCAAAGGCTCCATTTCACATTTGTAACATTATAGTGCTTTAGCAATGGAGTTTCTATCATTATTGCTATAATAGGTAATAGCTTTATTCTTATCCTGCTGCTCTAAGTTAGCCCACTCAATTTATGAATGCTAAATGTACAGCACTTGTTAAAATTTGAAAAAGAAATATGCAAGTATTTCAGATATCAGTGAATGGATTTTTTTTACAGGAATGTGGGCGATTATAGCTGCACCATTGTTTATTTCTGTCGACCTACGTACAATGGATCCAAAATTTAGAAGCATGTTGCAAAATGAACAGGTTATATCTGTGAATCAGGATCCTCTTGGTATTCAGGGTCGAAGAGTGAAAATGGATAAAACTAATGTACAGGTTGGAATAAGGACGATTTTATTAATATTTAGATTGTAGAATAAAATAATGGGCCTCCTGAAGTATGCGCACCAAGATGGCGCACTACCTAAACCCAAGTTGTGTACCAGGTTAGGGTTCAGGTTGTGCGACATCTTGGTGCGCATACTTCAGGAGCACCAAAATGTCAGTATGTGTACCAGGAGTGTGGAGTCCGTGGTAATTTAAACTCAACCCCAGCCACATATTCATTCAAAAACAAATTCGACTTCAGCTTTGAGAAGCCAAATTTTTGAAAACTTTGATTTCCTCATTTGTCTGTTGGGAATGCGTAGTCAACACAAAGTTTTTTGAATTTCTGTGAGAAATTTTTATTATCCTAAATAAAAGTCCGAAACCCTGACTTTTGACTCCGCAAATTTGCAATTCTGATTCTGTGAAGATGAAAACACAACCCTGGCTTATTGCGAGAATAAGCTTTGCAATTCAAATCTCGTTTTTTCAACTACTTTGGAGAATCATTCCTGTCCAAAATAGGAGTTAGACTATGATCTAATGAAAGCTCATAAATATACTTAATATTTCATGGAAAAAGATTATGTTATTCTTATTTATCTTTATAATATTATCTCAGTCAAGCATCCTTGAGGTAACTGACACATACGGGTACGAAGTAGAAAGTAAACAAGGAGAAAGAACTTGCATTGCAGTTGAATACACAATACCCTAGTACACCCTGATAATTATTGTCCGCAAATGAGACCGCACTAATTTTGTTTTAATATTGTTATGCTTTCATGAACCTACTTTTGTTTCAGCTCTGGGTGAGACCTTTGGTTGGCGAAGAGCAGGCTATAGCAATATTTAGCACAAGAACAGATGGTGTTCCATATGAATACTACTTCACATTGTCAGATCTTGGTATTCAAAAGCCAGCTTCTGAGTACTTGATGACAGATATTTTAGATGGAACAGAGCAAAAAGTTGTTGAATATACTGACACATTATCAGCTGACGTTAATCCAAACGGGATTAGAATGTTCCGTGCTATTCCGTTAAAGTGAAATTCTTGACCGCTTTCATATTAAGATTGTATATTAGGAAATGTGGATGACCAAAACTAATCGCTTGAATCGATTCAAAATTATTTCAAAAATTTGCTTCATTTATTTTTTGAAACCGTTAAAAATAAAGCATTGATCAAATCACTGTTTTTCTTAAATTCCAAATCCAACCCATGCTTAAAGCGTATTTCACACGCACTCACTCAGAAATAAAAGGCATTGATCTCTGAGCGAAATTACCGACAATCACAAGTGCCAATAGCTACTGAGTACTGAGGCTAAAAAGAATTACAGTGTAGAATCGTGCATTAGTGAATACTCATTCCCATAAGACTTACAACAGTTGGTGTCGATTCCACATGACTGAATTTTTTTAGAAAATACTTCAATACCTAAAAAATGCAAGTGCCCAAATAAACTTTGATTTTTTTCCAGTATTGTGCAATACTAAAATATTTTTCATGCGAGTAATTATAAGTTCATGCAACATGCTTTGAAATTGTCTATTTCAATGTTCTTCGTTAGTTCTGCATTGTTCAACTGTATCTAAAAGTGTAGTTGAATTTAATCTGTACTGGAATCCTATTTTTGATTCTCCCCTGTTCAAACATATGTTATATTGCAGGTATTTACAGCTCAAATTGTAGTTATTGTTATAGTTCTGTAGTTTTCCAATATTCGTTCACGGTCAAGAATATTTGAAATGATGAAATTGCAGGTTTCGCAACAATATCAAAATCATGATGTCATAAAATTTGCAATATTTTTTTGATTTGCCATTTGTTGCTAGTGCTACCATTTTATATTATTTAAGTAGGTTTAGATATTTGAGACAAGAGGAACACTAAATTGTATAACAATAGATTTTCCTAGTTAAATATTAACAATGTGGATCACATGAGGATTTAGGACGAGTAAGCGGCACAAGCTGGTACCGAACCGAATGCTTATTTATTAGTAATTAAGGTATTTATACAAATATATATTTGTATTTTTCAAAGGGACTGTCATATTACTGTTACAGATTATAAAAACTGACTATTGCTATCAGTTGAGTGCAATTTGGACTCGCCGTCATTTGTTATAAAAATGTTTTTATGAAGTCTGTAGTGAATCAAGTATGGTTTGTGTTATGTTCATGTGAAGTATGACAGTTTGAAGCATATGTCAAGGATGTCATTACTGAATTTGATACATTTTTGTTGTTCAGTTCTATCGAAGTGTATTTATTTTCAAAATAATAAGAGTTTGCTTACAGCAATAAAATTTTACTTTCAAGTAGAATTTATAGAATCCTTGTAATGGAATAAGTAAATTTTGCTCTGTCATTTTTAAACTTGATTTGGGTTAGTTATTATACTTGTTGCCTCGTTTATTTAAATCAAAATTATAGTACAAATGCCTAATTTCTTAGCCATAAGCTCAAATCAGAAAACATTGATAGATTCGTTTCTAAACCATTGTTATTCATTCTTGTTTCTCAATTTTTTTGCTATTGAGAGTGGTCTAATGCAGCAAAATTATTTTTCATTCAAATTACAGTAAAAAAATTCTAGGTATCCGTATTAGAAAAAAAACAACTTCAGAATGATAAACTTTCAGAATTATGTAACACCAATTTTATGCAATTGATTTTTGTATTCAATTTATTGCTAGTTATATTTTGCAGTATGACATTTGGAAATAATAAAAAAAATTTTGATTTTCATATTAAGATTATTTTGAGAGTAAGAGTCAATATGGCTTTATCTCATATAATTATTATAACTTCAATGTTGCTCTGTGCACATGTATCTGCATTGGAAAATGGCCTAGCACGTACTCCACCCATGGGCTGGCTGGCATGGGAAAGATTCAGATGTAATACTAACTGTGCTGCATACCCTGATAATTGTGTGGGCGAAAAATTGTTCATGGAAATGGCAGATGCGTAAGTATATGGATATTGTTTGTATTTTATAAATTTGAAAAGTCATTTTTAATTTAATTTGTGTTGTGTCCCATTTTTACTATCAGTAATTTAACAAGGCTGATCCAAAATTTGTTTATATTCAAAACTGCATATATTTTTCTAGGACAAAACATACTATCATAATATTTGGAGGCAAACTTTCTGGAAATGTTCAATCGTATAATTAAATTTCACAGATTGGCCATATTTTATGCAAAAATATTCTCATATACTGTACATCTAATGATATTATTAATTTCCAAATTTAGTTTGTTTGGTCTCAACATGCCATTTTGTAACGCATTTAGTTTCATGTGTTGCGCAGCGGACACTTTTTTTTATTATATATTTTAAAATAATGTTGAAGCTCTAGGTAAGCAGATATCTATTTCACAGTATTCTGGTGTTGGTCAGAAAGATGATCAGGAATCAAGCTTCCATCCCTTGGTGATATATCATCATTGGCAGTGATACAGATTGAATCCCTTGGGTGTCCCTTCTGTCTTAGATTGCCGGAGTCCTTGCTGTCTTTAAGGTGGTCTTTTCATCTGAGACCTATAATTGATTAGGGTAACTCTTCCTTCGAATTCCCAGCCTAAACTGATAAATGGACGAGAGGCTTCGGTTTGCTGTATTATTAAGTTGACTCGTCGTTGACTTTCCTCTTCCCTGGGATAAATATGATAAATCCTATCCTAGATAACAATCTTTCTCATGACAGGATGGTAAGTGGTGGATGGAAAGATGCTGGGTATAAACAAGTGAATATGGATGATTGTTGGATGGCAAAACAAAGAAATTCTCAAGGTGAAATATATGCCGATCCTGGAAGATTTCCTAGTGGAATAAAGGTTCTGGCAGATTATTTACATGCAAAGGTATTCAAACTTCTTGCTCTTGAACGCACTTCTAGTTAAGTGCTGTGGAACTCTAACCATGACTGAAGTCATACATTGTCTTGAAATCTAACTTCTCAGCTTGACTTGGGCAATTTATTATATTCGGAATGTATCTTTTTTGTCTAGTCTTGATCTACTTCATGCTTTGTTAAAAGGCCAAATAGCTTCTTGCAATAGCTTTATTGGCAACTCGCAACTCTGGCTCATGACTCTGACTTTGGATCGAAAAGAAAATTAGTGCTGTGACACCAATACCACATTCCACATTAGGAAAAATTTTATATGAATGGAAACACTTCATTTCAACAACACTTTCACTTCAAATCTTCATTTCTGAATCCAAATGGGTTAAAAAACTTTATCATACCAGGATCTTAAACTTGGAATTTACGCTGATTTTGGCAACTACACTTGCTCTGGTTACCCAGGGACTATGGGCCATGAAAAGGATGACGCACAAACTTTTGCTGAATGGGGCGTAGACATGTTGAAATTTGATGGTTGCTCATCAACTAGTGATGAAAAGAAAGTTGGATATCCTCTTATGAGTAAAGAGCTGAATGAAACTGGAAGACCAATTATATTTTCATGCAGTTGGCCTGCTGAAGATGGCCATGTTCCACCGAAGGTTAGTAATAGTAGTGTTTTCAGTAGGTTCAGATATGGTTTTGCATACACAATGCCAATACAAAACATTGAAAATAGCAATCGGTTATGTTTTGTCATTTTTATGGGGCACTCCACACTTTATGTACTGACTTTTTGGGAGGACCAGATTCTTTGGTGGTGGGTGTTAGGTTTGAGCTTGAGTATAAATAACATATCAATTATAGTCTTTTGTTCGTTTCAGATGACTTTTTACACTTTTCCTCCTATATAGGCTCTGGGCAAATTGTCTCACTTAATGTGCAAAGCTCATACAGAGTTTCTCTAAAGCTCCAGAATATTTGGTTTTTGGTTGGTATAGTCTGTCCAATTTGTTATATACTAGGGTAGGGTGGTACGATATGAGTATGAACCTTATTTTTTGAACAGCATTTTTATCTTTTGTTCAGTACAAGAATCAACTAATATAAAAAGAGATGATATTTTGTAAATTGCCAAAATTTATCATTCTGGTTTGGTAATCTCTACTCAATTTATAACGCCCTGTGTGCACTGTTGGCCGTTGGGCATGAGGATTGAAAACCTGCGAAGCAAGTCAAATTCAACAATGTAACCACGAGAATAGAATGCTGATAGTCATCTTGATAATGTGGTCGAGGTCATTAAAATATTTCGAGATATTTAATTATCATACTCAGCTGCATATCAGAACAATTTTTTTATTTTACAGATCAATTTCACATTAATGGCAGAGATTTGTAATCTTTGGAGAAATTATGATGACATTGGAGATAATTTTGACGATGTGATCAAGATAATTAACTGGTTTGCTGACAATCAAGACGTTCTAATACCTGCTGCAGGACCAGGACATTGGAATGATCCTGATATGCTTATTGGTGGAAATTTTGCTCTGAGTCCTGACCAAGCTAAGCTACAGTTTGGTAAGTTTTGTTTTTACAACAAATAGCAGTTTTTTTATATTGCATTATTGAAGGCAAAGCCATTGAGATATTATTATCTTACAGTTATGTTTAAACACGGACAAGCGGCATATAAAAAAGTATTGCGAAATTAGAATCACTTTTGCAAATATTAAATTGGATTTCAAATTTTTTCTGACGACTACAGTGTTTTATAGTAGCATTATTACTTATCGATCTTAAGAGGATAATTATGTCGTATAATTAGCGAGTTAGTAATTAATTAGGGATGGGACACGCAGTGTCACTATAGAGTCATGAATCGAAACCGCAGTTTCGGCCAATAAGTCTTCGGGCTCCGACCGATATTCTCGTTTCATACTTGTGAACTCATGAGTCATGATCAATACATAAAAGGTAATAATCGCCCAGTTTAATGCAATATAAGTTAGGACTGAAGCAAATAAAGCCAGATCATTGTATACTGTATTTGCACACTGAATGATGGGATCTATTGCTTCAGGATTATTTGGATGGGGATCATTGCAAAATTTTTTCAAATTTGTTTCATCATCGGTGTGATATTCAAATCAATGAAACCTGTAAAATATATATTTTTGTATTATTCCTGATGCTTATTTCAACATGATTAATGCAATGCGTAATAATAAACCTGCTTCGAACAATTGAAATCAACTGAATCCACTCATCAATAGGCTGCATTTCTATTTACACAGGTATGTGGGCTATGTTAGCTGCACCGTTATTTCTTTCCGCTGATCTGAGAGCAATTGCTCCAGAGTATGTGAAAATATTACAGAACAGGCAAATTATACAAATCAATCAAGATCCACTTGGTATGCAAGGTCGCAGGGTTAAAACTTCAGGACCATTCCAGGTATGTTTTTTGAGATTCTATGAATCATTATCTCCTATTTAGAAAATCATGCGTATCTCATCTATTGATCAGCAAATATGCTTTTCTCTCTCTTTATCTGCTGGACCAATTGTTTTCAAGTTTTCCATATATCAAAGCGCCGGGATATGCTTTCATATTTCCCCTTGCCTTTCTGGGATGTCATTGTTTCTCAATTAAAAAAGTTACTAGATATGAGGCTTTTCGCTCATGCTTAGTTGATCACTTCCATGCATATCTTTTTGCCTAGTTATAGTATTTTTTCACTTTCACAGCTATGGGTTCGCCCTATGTGGGGAGCAGAACAAGCGATTGCTGTTTTCAGCACATCAACTGGTGGTGATGTGGAACACTTCAGTTTTACAATGGCAGGCTTGGGCATTGATAAACCAGCATCAAAGTATGAAATCTACAATATCGATAACGAATTTGAAACAAAGGTTGTCGGTCTCAATGATATGATCACTGTCGCAGTAAATCCTCAAGGCATTACGATCTATAGGGCAAAACCAGGAACAACTAAGATTCCTCATTTTGAGTATGAAGTAAAGGAAGAATTGACCTTCGATATACTTTAAAAGTTCGTTCACAACATATATGCAAATTCTCTCAGCAATTCTTCATTGTTCTATGCCACCATGCTGTTGATATGTCATATACTTCAATAAGTTTTCAAGTTCTTTGTTTACCAGACATTTTCTGAGATTTATAATCAAGCATTATTTAGTTCGTTTATAGCCTTTTTGGAATCATGACAATGGTGCTTATATTTTTGATTGAAAGAAGCATTAATTTTAACAAAGCTTTCTGACAGTCTGTAATAATGTGTCATGAGCGCTTGGACTCATTCAACTCAACATGTTCCAAACAAGTGGCAACTCAAAAGTACCATAATCCTAATGAGAAATTTCTTCATTGTGTTTGTTGTATGAAAAGACTATCAGCTAATTGTTTTCCACTTTGATTTAACGTATATATGCACAAAATTTTTTCACTCATGCTGTATTATGTTTACCAATAATATGATTTGACTAAGCATAGATAATTTTGAGTCGTTTTTTGTGTGCCAAGCGAAACATAATAAGAAGAACTGTCAGTCAGTAAAATTGGGTGTGATAAGTAGCGAAACATAATAAGAAGAACTGTCAGTCAGTAAAATTGGGTGTGATAAGTTGTCAGTCCAAAAAAATCTGAGGAGGACTTACAGTTCGTTGAGGTCATTAGTCGGAAGCGAAGTCATGCCGCGATCTTACTGCACACTATCACTTTCGTAGGTTATTCCGCAGTACTAATGATCTATTTAACTATCAACATTTTGCTAGTAGCCGATTAGGGAAATAGAAGAGCAGATTGCCGGGCATCGGGGCAGTGCTGTAGTCTCACACTGAGAATGCTGCAAGGTGTTCTGAATCTTTAATGCCTTATGCCGATGTTTAAGGCTTAACATAACATCGGACAATTTCATGAAATACATTTATTTAGTATTCGATTAACATATAAGCAACCACAAACATTTAACATGTACTAAATATACTTACTCTAATAATGAAAACATCTGTTCTGAATCACTTTGTGAATAATAATAATACATTATGTTAGTTTAAATTAAGCAGCACTTTTGCTAGGAAATTTTGATGACTAGCATTTTCAAATACAAATTACGAATGAATGAGCCGTATGACATTTGACCATATAAAAAAATCGCCTTATTTAAAAAAGATTCGTTGTTTAAGAGCATCCCCTAACTCTATAAACATAACTGTTTTAATCACAAATACTTGTTTTTACATCAAAAAGCTCTTGCGATTTTTTCTATGCACAAATTTTCCGGACACGGTGTTGACTATCGTAAACAACTAAAATGGTGTCCACTTCAGAAACTCGATAGGTGTCCAATTTTTAAAGTAAATAGCACAAGAAAAAAAAGATACAGATGGCAGCTCAAAACAAATACCTTTCATCAATATTTAGTTTCCAATGGTAAAAATTATCACCATGCGTAAAATTATAACTTGTTACTATAGTTCATCATCAACTCGAACCAGGCACTAGATGTCTGGTCAGAAAATACATGAATACTGGTTGCACAAATGATATTGCAAGAGTAAGATAAAGTCGTCGTTTTCCACCGTGGCCTTGCGTGAAGTCATCAGTGGAAGCAGTATGCGGTAATATTTTCAATCGAAGAGTCTTCACCTGGAATTATTACATAAAGTTGTTGATGTAAATTCATGCATAAAGTAGAAGCCTAAACCAAGAAATCTCGAAGTATCAGAGACGCATTTGAAGAATATAGAACCTATTTAACTACTGAAATCTTTGGTAAATAGAAAACATGAAAAGTGAGATGTAGCAGACTCCCAATGAGCTATTTAATCAGGTGTGAGATGGGGCTGAATTGAAGTCTCTAATTTGAGTTCCAACAACACTCTTGGATTTGACCAGGGGTGGCCAACCTTTCACATACCATGCGCCACGTTTTAAACATAATTTTCAGATGCGCCGTAAATCTCTTGTATTCCCACGCCTAATGTCCGCTTCTTGTTGAAATTATATAAATTTATAATACACACACGTATATGTAGTTTTGACAATTTACAACTTCACATGAATAGAAATTAAGCAAGGAAGTATAAATAAGGAAGTACCGCCTTTATGAGACTTTTGCTGCTGTTTTACTTTCGCCAGTTTTTTTATTCTTGGAGTTAAGTTTGTTACTGAGAGGAGCAGTGCATTCTTCAAATTTAAATCTGTAAGTCTTCACCTCGCTTTGCTTTTAATTAGTTTCATGGCAGAAAATGTTTGTTCACATCTATATGTCGTTCCGAAATAAATTTCAATGACAGTCGCATATATATAGTTAACTCAACGAAAATTCTCGTATCCACGCAAAAATTCGAGCAATTTCGATAAACAGATTACGAAACAGGGAACCATTGTGACGCCATGCTTCAAGTAAAAACTACAGCCTTCCTGAAAGTAGGAGAAAAACGCATTCTGTCTTATGATATGAGCATTACGCAATAAAGCTGTTTTTAACAACGAAGAGAAAAAGGTACGATTAAGAAGCTGTTTGGCCTAGCGTCGCGTGATTTTACTCGCGTCACATTAGTACTTGCGTCACAGCATGCGATTTTACGCTTCGCTTCTGTTGACAACGGTCATTTGAAGTTTGGATGAAAAAGGTGGTATTTAGGGGTCATTTTCAGCATGTTGTGGGTTGATTTATAATAAATTTTTTAGGCTTGGGCAATTCAACTGGTTGTTCAATGGTTATTGGGAGATATTTGGGAAGTCTGGGCAATGGAAAATCCATGTTTCAAGCTGATAAATGACGATTTTCTATTTTTCCAGAAGTTCTGAACTTTTTACTTCAGTAGGGAAAAAATAGTAAATTTTACTAATTTTTGCTAAAAGTCTAAAATGAACGTCATAAAGTCCGTCCAAAAGCTAACGTCGATAATCGCCTGTTGTTTCTAATTCCAACAAGCCGTAAGTGGGCGACGTGAAGTAAGGAGAATAGATTTTAGTTACAATCAAAAGTCACCATGTAAATCACTAAAAAACGGCTTGGCGTGGAGAAGCCAAGTGCAACTAACAATTTTGGCATGAAAAGGGTTAAAGATGCAATGCGTCACGTTTGGCGCATGCGCCATAGGTTGGCCACCCCTGGATTAGACTATTCTCTTTTCATTACTCCAACAATTACCCAAAAACTGCTGGTTTACTCAATGTTTGCACTACTTTTGCTATATCTTCTGTCACTTACCAAAAAATAAGCTATGGAAAGACTCATATAGCCCAGAGCAGCCCAATAACCAGCCGATCTAAACACCAATCCAGCAGCCATTATTACAATCATCCTGAAAAAGAAATATATAGTTTATGAGAAGCAAGCAATTTTGAATATACATTAACTGCATTTTTTAAAAGTAAAAGTAATCACGGATGTAATCTTAATCACAGTAACACTGTTTATGGTCAATTTCGACAAAGATATTTTCATGCCAAGAACTTAAGCATGTACGACAGACTACATCAAAGCTGTTTTTTTGATGGTATTCACTTGATCTGCTTCTTCGCACCAATCAGCATTTGTCATTTACTGGCATGTAATGCTCTACCATAAATATATTAGCCCAGGATCTCGGGGCATTAAAGTGGTCACCCACTACCTGCTCAGAGATGAGTCTCATTACCTTCTGAGTGAGTGTGAGCAACCTTGCTTTGCCCAAATTAGATTAAAAAAGGGACGCAATGGATTGCCAAGCAAAAAAAAGCATGGGATAATAATATTGGACTAGCTCATCGTCTCTCTTATATTTTAATCATTTAAATGTTAGATCCATATAATTTTTTTTTTACAAATTTAATAAACAATACCCAAAATATTTGTATCCACAAAATGAAACAACATCCCATGTGCCGAGGTCTGTTCGAACATTAACGAGATACAAACTAAACATGATCAATGCTATTTCAATCGCCAACCACACAAAGGCACTACTAGCTTGAATACCCAATTCTTCTGGACTGAACCTAAAATAATAAAAATGTGTAATATTGATTTGGTACTCCTGAAATGTGTACCAGGTAAGGTTTAGCCAGACAATGAATTAGGGATTTCAGATATGCCATAAAAATAATAGAAACAGTGTAATTCATGTATTGACAATATCAGCAATATGAGGACACACAATATTATGATGTTTTAAAAATTATTAGGTCCATAGAAAACTTGAAATATCAAGCCAAAAAAACAACATCCTTATGATACAAAACACAAACTTACTTGTCCAAAATACCTAAGGAAATTCCAGAAAAGAGAATGTAAGTGATATATGCCATGACTGAAAAAGAAACACAAGAGTAAATTAGCAAAAACTATGGATGAAAAACAAAAAGGGAAAATTTTACTAAAGAACAACATACCAGGAATGTATAAATCTGGAGCATTGATATCAAAACGAGGTGCGACAGGAGTGTCTTGTTGATATTGCACTCCCCATTCCTGAAATTTTGTGAAATAATAGTAATTTGTAGCAATGGCTTATAAAATTTGCAAGTTAGTGTTATTCATAGAAATCGAATTTTATGTTTAGGTTCAAATAAATGTTTTCCGGTTGATTTTTGTTTCCATTGTCAGAAGTTAGTTGGAGTCTATTATATGTGTGACCATCTGATGTCTAACGCTTTTCAAATGAAATTATTTCAAATTATTCTTTAATGAATAGTTTAATAAATTTAATATATATACAATTCGTTTTCGATTTTACGAAAATAACAAAATTAGCATTTTGACTTACCTGATGAGTGAATGGGAAAGAAAGAAGGGCAAGTTTTTTGGCAACATATGTTGTATCAACAGCAAAGTAATATTTGAGTTTCGACACGGAGATGTAACGATCAACCTGTATATATGAACTTTATTTAATGAAATTGATATCAAATTAGCTAGACTGAAAAAATACTTTCAGAACTCAGACTTACAAAATAGGAGTGTATAGGACAGGGGTGTGCAACATGTTCTGTTGGCGGGCCATACAAAAGTTTAGTTTCTCAGTGTACACAGCGAATTTATTATTACGTCACAATATAATGTGGTAAACAAGCGTTATTAAAGTCTGCAGCAATAAAATTAGGGAGTAGGGACATCCAGATAAAAAGAGGATGCGGCTATTGCTTGGCCTTAAAGTAATAAAGACGCAAAGCAAAACGGTGAAAGATTGAACGCAGTGACAATAGCAAAAAAACATTATGTACAGTATTTTTACCCATGTTAACCCTTTCCATGCGATTTTTATTTTTTATTAAATAATCGTATTAGCTACGCCGATTTTATGCAATTGTACCCCCACAACTAATCGATCGACTAACGAAAAACTAATGATCCTCTGCTGCCCACTGACGAAAATATTCGCTAAATCCTTTACTGTTACCGCTTCGTGGTTGGCAAACAATAGCATAATATTGCTGTAGCAATTTCGTGATCCAACTCAAAATACTTTGGTAGATGGAAGAGATATTATGTCTTCTATTACCACCCAAAAAACACCGAAATTTGCATAAATTTCAAAAACACTCCCTCGTTCCGCCGCAAATAAAATTCCCGTCGTAAACGAAAGCGAGATTTACCGTCACTTATGTTAATCTCGAAGAAGACTTCGTATCAATAAACTAAATCCCGGAAAAACTAGACCAACAGTTTGCGACCGATTGCTAAATAAAACAGTGGAGTACATCAACGTAGCCGCCGCAATCTAGCGACTTTTGTCGTGGGTACGTATACGTGCCCACCGCACGGAAAGGGTTAAAGCCTTTTTAAACATAAACTTTCAGATTAGGATATTTTGTATGATGGGGAAAAATCTGAGTGTTGACAACGGGCACTCTAAATGGCTTGCCGCCTGTTCTGCCACCGCTAGTTAAGGAGATGCTATAGTTTGGAGGACCCCGAACTTTTCCATTTAGACATTGCCTAATGCTTACCAAATTTACTACACCATGGGGATGAGATTTGAACCAGCGATGTCATTATAATTAAGTCTCAACGCTTTACCCAAAAAATAAATGAACTGACATTTTTCTCGAGTAATTCTTTTCCTTGTCCAGCCAGATTTTGGCCATATTGCATTGCCATGTTCGCCATTGGATCGGCGAGTATATTGGCCCCAGGAAACTGTTGTTGAGGATTCATTCCATATGGTGCCTGTTGTGGAGGCATCATTTGAGGACCCCCGTATTGAGCATAACCTTGTCCTGCTCCACTTGTATCCTCAAACAGCGGCATTTCTTGTTGTTGTTGATTCTTTTGTCTATTCTTTGAACCTAAAGAAGAAATTTCAATATGGGGATTAAATGGTCTTTAAACTAATTCGAGTTTGCATTAATTGTTAGAATACTAAAATGAAGTTATTTGTACCTAAACTGTAATTAATATTATAAAATGAAATAATTTTCCATTCAAGTATGTTAATAACTCGTATATTAGACGAAATATCAGAATTCAGTTCAATAACATTCATGATCAAGTTTCACCAATGAAATATATTGAGTAATCTTAAAAATATCATTGTTTACCTATGTTATATGAAAAATAAATAAAAATATCAGATTTTGATTTAAAGTGTTCGACAACAATCCGAATAAAAAAAAAGGTTCACCTTTTCGGAAATGGCCTTGACCCTCCATCTTATACAAAGTGAGTTTGACAACAAATAGAGAAAGATATTATAAATACGAATATACTTTTAATATATCTATTATTATAACAATTTTACAACAATCTGTAGAAAACAAGAGTAACAGAAAAATAATTAAAAAAAAAAGTAAAAGGCATGATTGATATAATGAATTTTTTGGGATTTTCACAACAACAAAATACCATATCAAGATCGTTCTCTAAATCGTAACAACGTTATTCTATCAGTGTTACAACATAATTCAAACTGATAAGTATCATATAGCAGACAATGAAATTACGTAATCAAGTAGCTAAGTAACACTAAAACTGACATAATGAGTTGAAGTGTGTCATTTCAGTGATTGCAAATACATCATATATATTGGAATGAATTTCTACATGGGTTGCATTTTGCTTGAATAGGCAATTTATAATGTTCTGACATTTTTTCAATCCAAATAGGCTCGTACTGTCGGTTAAATATTTCAAATTCCAATCTCAAATGCAAATAAGTAGGTTACACCGAGCCATAGAAATTTGACGTCGTTAGGTTCCTGTGGAACAGTGGCTGCTTGTGCCTTTTTAGGAGAGAAGAAGCAAAAACCATGAACATTATGAATATGAAAACTATTTCAATGTAAATATACAGATTCAAATCATGGAATATATCAATAAATGAATCCACAGGAAATTCGACTATCAGCAAGTCTTTCTAATTTTAGAACATTATTGAAATACCCACAATGTAGAAAACCAATTCCCTTTTTCTTTTACCCATCTATTCAAAGATGTATGGAATACAGGAACATGCCCTAATGCAATGCCATGCAGCAAATCCCTTGTTTATGTGATTTACACTTCTATTAATCTATTTACTTATTAGTGGCAAACAAATGAAGGAAAGTATGTCAGGTTAACACTAGAAATCTCAGGCATTGCCAATCTTGTGTTTTGACAAATAGTTGTGAAAAGTAAAACCTTGAACAATCAAATTGCCCTGCTTTTTATATTGTAATTTGTAATCACTATAAACTTTCGAACTACATTGTTTCACAGCTAACAAATGGATTTTGAATATTCCTATGGATGGCATTACAAAGATCCTTTACAACGGGTACATAACAAAGTCCTGGCAAATACAGATTACTCAAATGTTAATCGAATCAAGAGACTCCCAGCTTATTCAGTTCGTCAAGAATAGAAGAACTTTGAAGCGATAAAATTCGAAGAATATTGTCGGGAATCTTTGTGGGCGCTATTAACTAGTGGATAAAGCATTTGACCTAAGTGTGTTGTCATTGCAGGATCACTTAGGTTCAAATTCCATGCCTGGCAGTCCACTAAGATGTAATAAATTAGGTAGGCAATGCAGAACCAAAAAGAATAGTGGCCCCTTAGATATCAGTAGATGCTCAGAGCCAATTTTTCCATCAAATAATTACATTATGTATATCGCTGCACTATACATATTGCTCAAAAAACATTAGTCTGAATCAGATCCAGATGAGTCACTTTCACTTCCAAATATTTCTTGAGCTTGACGATTCTCTCCTTCCTCTTCTCCTTGTTCATTTTCATCACTTGAAGAAGCTGATGATGATTCTGCCTTCTTTTCTTCAACTTCCTCTTCACTGTGCTCACTTGCATCTTCTTCCTCTTCATCTTGTGTAGTGGTTTCTTTTTTATCTTCACTTTCTGATTCCGAGGATCCTGCTGCTTCTTCTTCTTCTTCTTCACCCTCTTCCCCACCTTCCTCTTGAGATTCTTTCTCTCCCTCTTCAGCTGAAGATTCTCCTTCTAATTTTTCATCTCCATCTTCTTCTTCCAGTTCATCATCCTGTTTCTCATCAAAATCTTCATCAGCTTCTAATGGTTCCAACTGCATCCTTCGCATTTCTTGAGCTGCAAGTTCTTGGTCGTTTAGTTCACGATGGTGGACAGCAAGGACTGCATTTGTAGCAGATTGCAGTCCACCTCCTCCCTTTGCTCTTCGTTTACTAAGTCGCACTCTCGTTTCTAATTCATTGTAAAATACACCATCTTCTCTCATTACAAAATAATAGTTTTCTTCGTAACCTTTTGATGCTTTATTTTTAACATTCCAGTTATATTCCCTTGCAAGTTTATAATCGTAGAGCTCTTCTGGATTGTAATCCATGCCTTCTTCATTGTCTTGTTCTCGTTTTTTCAGAGTACCACTCGTTGGCAAGAAATAAGCGACAAATTGATCTCCTTCTTCATCTACCATACCTCTGATCATAGCCTGTGACATTTCTTGGATTTGCTGCTGCGGAGAACTACCTTTTACAGCAGGATCAGTATCAAATATAACTTGTGCACTGGGATGTTGCCACATTTTGAAATCTGGATAAATAGGAAGAACGTCAACAGGATATACATTCGGCTTACTATAATGCTTTTTGATATCAGTTTTTGCATCTTCAAACGTTTTCTGAATAGCCGCAATTTGACTATCCCTGTCTTTATACAAATCATCGTCTTTGAAGAGTTCCTTTATACCGGCCCCTAGACGCGTTTCCACATTAGTGTTATTGGCTCCGTATCGATTAAACTCTTGTGAAATGTACTCACTTCTTCTTAACCAAGAAACATTGATACTGTGTTGTTTAGAACGTTTTGAATCCTGTGGAGCCGGAAGATCTTCTTCCAGCAAAGCCTCATCAGCTGGATCAAGAGTATCTTTCAAATCAACTTTATATGTATCGGGGTTTATTAAATCAATCATCACACCCAAGTCATGATCAGTATGAAGATCAATTTTATGAAGTTTTTCTAGTGTTGTTGGTTTGTATTCAACGAATCTATTTGCTTCAAACGGGTAGCATATGAATTTGGGATCAAAAGGAATATCTGGTAAATTGTTACAATATTTAACTCTTGTAACCAGTCCAGTTCTTTCTATTGTTCCACCACGCCCACTTCTTCCATCCTGCTTTCCCTTCTGATTCTGAATAGTAGGCACTGGAGCCATTATGTTATTGTTACAACATATCGATATAAGGAAAACGTAGATGGCTGTATAATATTAAAGCATGACAAAATTTTAGTGAATAATACAGTATCATAGTCCTAATATTTTCTGACTGTACTTTATTAGTAATATTTTTTATTTTATTTATTTCATATTTATGCAACAAAAAGTGAAGATGATAGGCTTACTGTGATAAGATGGCTTAATCATACAGAAGACCACAGCCCTTGTACTCTTGTACTGTATGGTTGTCAATTACTGAAATGAGGTCAGGTATGGGGAATAGGTATGGCATGTATGGTAATTCAGTAATTATTTCCACAAGATTTCAACCTTACAAAATATGTTTTCGATGAATTAAAGATAAATATTTCATTAATTTCCATCTCTTATTACTCTATTAAATTTCCAATCAAACCAATTCAAACAATAAAATATTGAAAACTTCATAATAGGGCTTACATATCAATACAAATATTATGTTATTCCACTATATTATTACAACTGCAAATATTCTGAAATTAGGACTGATAAAAATCATACCAATAGCTGAATTCTGCAACACCATTCAGTTAACATAATCCAGAATGTTCATAAAAAAAAGGTAACGCATTCAGGCGCAAGTCAGTCATTGGCGCACTGCGCATGCAAGTCATGATATTATTCACAAATAAATGCAGAAATACTTAAATCTGTGAATGGCTATATGAAGATACCCAAGTAGTCTACTGAAGTAGGCAAACTTCACTAGTTGAAGGGTCCCTCATCCCGTTTTTCACTTACAGACTTGGGATATTCTATGCAGCTATAAGATTGACATTACAATGTCCGAATGTACGGTAGCGGCGGTGTGGCTCAACGGGCTAAGCGTTAGGAATCCGCTCGCCACCGCACCTCTAATTACTCTGCATGGGTTCGCAGGTTCGAATCCCATGCAGGGATGGTTATGTGCGAGAGGATTGCTGGACTCCTCGTCGTCGTTGGGTGGTTCACGTAACCGCTGGTCGGTTACGGTACCGCTTCTCCACCACCAAGTCCATGCTTCCGAAAACAAAACAATATAACTAATCCCATACCCGACTTGGAATGGTAAGAGGACGAGAGGCCGTGGTTCGCCATAGGCATAAGCCGTCTTATCGGCTTTCCTCTCCCCGGGATAAATATGTAAATCCTATCCTATCTGGAACTTTTTACGTGTCATGTTTAAGCCGTAATTAAAATTGCAAAAACTAAGCTGAATTCCTTTCTTTCATAATTCTTGTGTCATGACGGAGTACGAAAAAATTATCTTACCAGTCTGCCAGTACGGTACCCATACGCCGCAGCTCAATCTGCTAACAACTGAACAACGTCACGAGAAATCAAGCGTGAGTTTTTCACGACTGCTACTTTTCTGACAACGTCAGCTACGCTCAACGACTAACATAACGGCTACGCTCAACGATAGAGGTATCCAAATGTCAAACACTCGATAATCTGATTAAATGAAATTTACCCCTGCGTCATTTTTGTTGACGATTGTATACGAAATTGGTACAATTCATACTTCATGAAGAACAAATTAATCAGGATCAAATTTTCAGTAGCTGAAGATAGATGCGGTCGCTAGAATGCAATAAGATTGATTTTGGTCCAAATCCTATGGCACCCGATATTTCACTGTTTTATTTGGGCTTTGCTCTTCTTGTTCGGTTATTAGCAATAAACATAGATTCTATGCTACCTGTCGCCGAGTGATAGACAGTCTTCGACATGCCCTGCGTAATCATTTTTTCCTCAAAGGAATGTCGGTTTTTCATTCTTTGTTATCTACGATTATTCGACACGAAATGTACATATGAATCGTTTTGTTATTATATTGTCGTCCTTCCTATTGATATTTTTCTTCTTATTGTAATAAAATAATCGCGTCTCTTTTAACAACTAGACCAACAAAGATTGAAGGCTATTATTTTTTGTTTGCTACGATGTCATCAAAAATTGCGCACATGCCGGTTCCTCTTTCTCATTAATCGCGAAAGTTTAGATTGCATACCAGTACTACTTCGTTTAGGCCAGATTCCGCATCGGCCTACTTCACTCGGACACTAATGAATTGCAACAAATTTTAGTGCCGATCTCGGGATTCATTTTAATAAATTCACGAAATCACCTAGAAGGAAATTTTTGCTTTTGCAATATTGTTAGATTTGTACAAGTAATACAAATAAATATCCTGAATGTTTGGATTTGATGGTAAATAATAAAAAACATATATATAATCAATGTTTATCTTATGAATGGAACAGAATTGATACGAACATTGCAGATTCATATACTTCATTACTATCATGCAAGAATCAATACAAAAATTGAAGCACGAAAAACTGTCAATGGTGTATAATGGCAATCAGGTGTATAATGACAATCATAAAAATGTCATTATATACATAGGAAATTCATACAAGTGAGAGATTCATAGCAATCGATAAGGGGTCGCGAAAGACTGTGACAGTCATTGGGTCAGCGACACCTGTTGGTTGAAGTTTTAGAGGGAATGATAGAAAAATTATACAAATTTAATCACTCAAAATGAACAGAAAAACAAAATATCACCAGAGAAATAGTAAATGCGAAAGTTGCTGATCGTGATTGAAAAAGATATATCGTAATATTTGCGCAAATATCGAACAATTTTGAATATAAATCTCGGCCATAGTGGAAGAATCATTTTGAAGTCATGCTGGTATATTGCATAATTGATGAAAAAAGTGCAAAAATCAAAAAGGTAACAAACAAACCCTCTTCATTAATAATAATAATTAATAGTAAGAAAATGCGAAATTAAAATGTTGTGACGACAAAATTTGACACCAATATGATGGAAAAAAATATAGTGATATGCTCGAAATGAGATATTTTGAAGGCCAAACCAAATTTAAAAAAAAAACTAGTGTGGTGATTATTGACATAGGAGCCCTATTTTCGGAATAAATAAAAAGTTTAAATTCAGGTAGTCATTTTTAGGATAAAATTTAAATTCATGAGATTGTTTTTTAACAACATTGTTTAGATTCTATATGTAGTTAGTTACTAGTGCTGCATAGGAGAGGCACGAGCCATGACTATCCCTTGAGGGTAAATATTAAATGTAATGGTAGTGTTGAGGCCAACTTGTTCAGGAGGATCTGAATCAAAAACATCATACAACGTGTACTTCGATGCTGGATTTTGAATGTTGAGACTGAACAATGTAAATGAATAAGCAGCCGCACCTCCAGATGATGTGCCAGTATATATTACTGCAATGGCTTGATCTCCTTTCGACAAGGGCCTAACCCACACCTGTAAAACATCGGAATGTTGTGCATTTTACAAGCAATTCCAAAATATAAAAGTTCAGTAACAACTTCCAAATTACCAGAATCTTTAGATTTATTAGGGATTAACCCGGAGTATATCAAGGGACACTTCTAGGGCCTACATAAAATCTATTTTTAATATATGTATCTTAATTTAGGCCAATCAAAGTAATGTCGCAACCCCTACATACATACAAATACAAAATACGGCAATGATCTTTACCTGGAAATCTTTATCAACTTTTTCACGACGGCCCTGCATTCCCAATGGATCCTGATCAATTGCAATTACTTTCTTATTTTGCAACATCTGCCTCATTTTAGGATCAATTGTTCCCAAGTCAACAGAAACTAATAGAGGTGCAGCCAAGATTGCCCATATTCCTAACAAATGATACATTTGCTTATACAATAAAAGAATACATAGTGAAAATTATTTTAACTAAGGATTTCAGGATTATATATCTTCAAAGTTTAGGCTTAATTTATCACATGATATGCAACTGTTTTTGAAGATTCAAGATTTACTTCCATAAAAATAAATATTAAATGATATCAATCAAAAATATTCTGGATTTTTTGAATGAATTAAATATTAAAGTCGAACTAAATGAAATTTCTTGAAGTTGATACAAAAATTATGCAGTACCAAACTGCAGCTTTGCTTGCTCATAACTTAGAGAAAAGTCTCCACCAATCAGCATATCTGGATCATTCCATCCTCCAGGTCCAGCCGCTGGAATATAAACATCTTGGTGATCTCCAAACCAATTTATAATTTTCAAAACATCATCAAAACTATCTTGAATGTCATCATAATTCCTCCACATATTACATGATTCTTTCACAAGAGTAAAGTTGACCTGAACAGTATGAAGATTTCAGACTTAAAGATGGCTTTTTTATATACGGTAAGTTTGCTCAAAACAAGAAAAACTTTCAGAGTTTAACATACGATATAACTGCAAAACCCATTATTACATTGAATGACTACAGGAATGCCATAAATTTTGATACCTGAAACAGCTTCATTCTGTAAAAAAAATAGTTTTCAGGTAGATATCCTATAGCATACTTCATTACTCTCAGATTCCTGTATACAAAATATCCTATTTTATTCATAATATACTAACCTGAGGAGGCAGGTGTCCATCATCCAATGGCCATCCACATTCATACAATATATGCCGTCCAGTCTGATTCAACATTTTAGTCATTAGAGGGAAGCCAGTCAGTTTTTGTTCATGGCTTGAGTAACAACCATCCAATTTCAACATGTCTATACCCCAGGATGCAAATGTCTCAGCGTCATCTTTTTCATGTCCTAGTGTACCAGGGTATCCAGCACACGTCAGTTCACCCATATCTCCATATATTCCCAACTTCAAGCCCTAACATACAATAATATATACATGGATATTCAAATATATGGCATCTTCTTAAATTCTCAATTCCTATTACATAAATGCAATTAATGAATCAACAAATTTAAAAACAGAAGTACAAAGGACTTGTACAGAGCATCCAATTAGATTTTTATCATCATAAATTTGTAGAATTAGCATACCTTGCCATGCATGTAATCTGCTAAAGATTTCATTCCATTTGGAAACCTATCTGGATCAGGAGTAAGCTTTCCATCCTTTGTTCTGAGTTTGGCAGGCCAACAATCATCTATATTGACTTGAACATAACCTGCAGCTTTCCACCCATCTCCATCCAATCTAAAAATAATGGGATTGTATTTCCTTTTTTTATATTACAGTAATTTTGATAAACAGACCTGTTTGTTGTTGCTGTAGTATATATGATGTACAAATGCAAATGATTGCAAAAAGTGCTGTATGAAATAATACCTAGTGTATTGAGGATTGAGCATATGCTAGAATCCTGGGTTGTATTGTCTGAGATATAACCTTTTGATTGGGAAATTATTCATGTCATATTGAGCACTGATTATGTTTCTGTAATTAAGAACAATCATAAACATATGAAAAATAATAAATATATTTATTTAAGAATAGATTGGTTGATTAGCCTATTATTAAATAAAAAGACAAAGGATTTATTTGAAATTAACAAATAAGATAATGAATTAGGACTAAAAGTATTTATAATAGGCCTACATTCCAATCAAGTGATTAGATAATTGATAAAGTGTGATGTGTAACTTAAACAATGTTTGTGACGACAAGTTTGTTCTACAATTACATTACTCACCGATCAGCCATATCTTTGAATAACTTTTCAGAAATGCAGGAATCTGGGTAATTTTTACAGTCGGTATTGCATCTGAAGCGTTCCCAAGCAAGCCAACCCATTGGAGGAGTACGAGCTAGACCATTATCCAATGTACATACATGTTCAATGACTAGTAGAGTTGTCAGTAATATCACCAGTACATTCATGGTTGATGACCAAAAATAAACCAAATGCTAGATGCCTAAATTCATTAGTTAGCCTGTCACAATATAATAATTGAAATCGTACCAGTAATCAGTCCAATACCATTCTGCCATATATTTATAAGAATATACAGAAATAATTCAGGATATGACAAAAAAATATTACTATTATATGAATCAAAATGCCCTCAGATTGTTAGGATAGATTTTTATACACACCACTCATTTTTTACTAATTTACATTAGTAAACATTACTTGACCTTTGAATAGTGTATAAGTTAGGTGGATTAAAAAGAATCTAAATGCGCTAATGATATAATTTAATCATGTTTTTCAATGACAGAAAAAATAAGGTAATGATGCTAATTTGTCACTGCCTAACAGACTAATAATGTTAAGTATTGCAGGCACAAACAATCAATATTCTCATTCACTGGTAAATTCAAATAGTTTTCAACTAGCAGACTACAATTTTATTGCAAAATATCATAAATAAAATAATATCAAAAAGAAATAATAACAGTACATTATTAATATGTTCCATAATCATCATCATTTATACGATTACAATATTATTATTTTTAAGATAAAGCATGTAAAAACAAGTTTTTCCAAATATTATTTATCTCTTAATTACATATGATATAGGCCTACTTATATACCGGTAGTCAATTGTATATATACCGTACTCTTCTATATTTTATAGATAATAGTCTTCATACACAGTTACATAATAATCTTAGCTCTCTTGTAAAATTAGGTGAATTTCTAAGTTTTTTCTACTTTATTTCTACATTTTAAAGCATTTTCAACTGTGTTTATTACACTATTAACACTTCGCATAACATTTTGAAAAATTACTGCATTTCGATGCAACCAATTCTTATACCTAGTAATAGACCATAACAAAAGAATTGCATTTTTTTCTACATTTGATAAATGTTCATAACGAGGGTTACTCAAATCTAATAATACACAAGTTTCATAATCAACTGAACCGTTATTTTCATGATAATCAAAAAAACACAATCATATACTATATTTATACCGGTTCTAGTTTTGCTACCGGTAGCAGGCAATTAATTATACATTTACTACAAGAATTGCAAACACGGAATAAAACTAGACGCGGCGGTGTGGCTTGGCGCGGCGGTGTGGCTCAACGGGCTAAGCGTTAGGAATACGCTCGCCACCGCACCTCTAATTACTCTGCGTGGGTTCGCAGGTTCGAATCCCATGCAGGGATGGTTATGTGCGAGAGGATTGCTGGACTCCTCGCCGTCGTTGGGTGGTTCACGTAGCCGCTGGTCAGTTACGGCTTCCTCCACCACCAAGTCCACGCTTCCGAAAACAAACAATACAGTAAAAACTAATCCCATACCCGACTTGGAATGGTAACCGGACGAGAGGCCGTGGTTTGCCATATGGATAAGCCGTCTTATCGGCTTTCCTCTCCCCCGGGATAAATATGTAAATCCTAATCCCTAATCCCTAATCCTAGACTACAACGCTCCCGCACTTCAACAGTGTCCGGACTTTTTTTTTTTTTTTTTTTTTTAAATGGATCCACAATGTGGATTATTCAATATGTAAATAATAAATAATAAATAAATAAAGGTGGAGATACTAGCAAAGCCTGACTAGGATGCGGTGATGTGATTGATGGCCAGAACGTGCTGATGAGAGTCATGCATCAGGGCCCGTTCACATATGTTCACACTATTGCGTTGACGCACCTTAAAACCTTGTTTATTTAACTTAATCGTGCGTTGCTGCGTTAACGCATTGCGTCAACGCAATTGCGTCAACGCAGTGCGTTGTTGGAAGACAATTCTTTTTGCGTTGACGCTGCGTTGCCCGCCGTTTTTGAATTCTGATTTGGTGCTTTCGCCATTTTCGTCGTATGACTTCGGTACCGGTATGTCCGGGAGTGATGATGGGTTGACAGTAGGCTACGGTATTCATTGCACAGTTGGATGTATACAAGTTTATCCATACAACCAGAGTGGCGATACCGTTCGGTACCGTACGTGGTTCGTAAACTTACTTCTGTACTTTGTACAGTGGACTAGATTATGCGCATAAACTAAAAGGGATCGTACGGTGAGTACCGGTACCGGTAGAGTCTGACAATGGGCAGGTCCCAGGTTTAAGATAAAGTACAGGCTACTGCTGTACCGTACTGTACCGGTACCGGTATGTTGTGTATTCACATGTGATATTTATTTTTCAGATTTGTCTTTAGAATACCGGTATCCTTCATTAATTCAATCTTGTTTATACCATGAGTCTATCAAATCAGCAAAAACTTGGAATCATGCTATGGGCAAAGCGCCGCCGTGAAAGAGAAAACAATACCTGTACCGGTACACGAAATTCAAGGCGATGGTGGGTGCACCCCATCTTGAGAAAACGAGAGGAAGCTGGTGAGTCTTTGAACAAGCTTGTCAAAATTGTAACAGCTTGTAAGTAAGGTGACATATTTTCTATTCAAATTCATGCTGCCCTAAGAGGCACAGGAGCAATGTTCTAAATAGACATTTGGTACTGTGGTAAGTGATTTAAATTTTCTATGTTTGTCTGCCTGTTAGTTTGTCATACTGTGTACTGTCTGACTGTCATAGCCTATCAATATGTATGAGTTAATGTCATTGTTTTAATATGTCTGTCTATTTGTTGCACTCAGGAAATTGTTGACAGATACTGGAATATTATCAGATAAGTATATCGATTGCTGTATTTTATGTATATGTTATTATGACAGAAATTTGCTTTTTTAAATTTTTTTAACAGGGGTGAGCTAATATTTCATGTGTTTGTCAAGAAGATGTCTAGTTCTTTTGTGTTATTATCTGTCATGGTATGTGTACTCTTTCTGTCTTTAGGTGTTATTGGTTTGTGTGAATTTTATTGTTTTTTGTAGTATTTTATCTAATGTGCGTAGATATAATCCAGCTGTTCTTATTAACAAATTTAAAGTATAACTAATTGTGAAATAAAGCAGGTAATAAAAGGATTTTCTCCATTTCTTTGAGTTAAGTTAATATTCGACAAATTCAGCTTGGCTAAGTTGGTAATTTTTTCTGAACTAAAACAGGTGAATTTCATGCACTGGTACAGGAATTACGGTTGCAGCGACCTGCATATTTCAAGGAATATTTTAGAATGTCGACAAAAGAGTTTGACAAGTTACTTGGAATTGTTGGTCCAAAAATAGAAAAATTAACGACGACGTACAGAAGGCCAATTTCCGCTGCAGAGCGATTGGCTGTAACATTGAGGCAAGTTAATGATTTTATTAAAATTTGTCTATTTTTATTCTATGTTGTGCAATTTGATATTGTGACTTTTTTCATAAATATGATAAATTTTGTCACTTTTAGATTCTTGGCAACTGGAGACTCTTATCGGACCATTGCCAATAGTTATCGTTTAGGGATTTCCACCGTTTCCCTCATTGTACCAGATACATGCAGGTATGATTTTCAAATATAATTTTGATCTTTTGTATTTTTGATAAATCCCAATCTTGATATCATGGCATTTCGTTTCTCTTGATTATCGAAATGTTCTTTTTTGTTTTTATTGATTTTGTCATAATTTTATATATATTGGGTTATGAGCATGTATATAATATAATTAATCTAAAGTATATTCAATCAATTTTATTGTGATGAAATAAATCTTACTCTGAGATATTACAGCATATTTATGGATTTTTCGAACGGTTTTATCTAAAAATAATCAGAGTGGCAGCATTTCGATCGAGCGAAGTCACTGTTAACAGGTATATCTAAATATTTGCCGAATTCGCAAAATACGGATCAAAACAATATTTAATCGGGCAGTTTACCTCGCGTTTTTATTTTTATGACCGCGGATTGCAATGGTATATAATAAGACTGGTGAGGATTTTATTTTGTCGACGCAACCGCAGGTTAAATTGAAGACAATTAAATTAAAAAAGCAAGACATTTTAAATATGCCCGTGTCGGTCACGAATTCATTACTTTGCACAACAGAAAAATATATATTCGTTGTTATATTATTTGTTGTAAAAGTCGACTCTTTTAACAGATGGCATAATCGAGGCGATGAATATGAATTTTTAATTTACTGCTAAACTTTATATGTATATTCATTGTATGAAATGAATTATACTCTACACTTAACAGGATTTTATATAATTATTTGAGATTTTTCTTACGGCGATAACGAGTTGGCAGATTGCAAAAACACCAGGCAGTTTATCTCGTAATTTTAGGTCACAGATCGCCGTGGACCGAATAGTAATGTTTTTTTTTTTTGACGTAAGAAGAAGCAACCGCGAGTTACGTTGGACACATTAAATTAATATATAAAAATATTTTAGAATCTCGTAGTTGTCATGGATTGAATATTTTTACGTAACAGGTGATCATTATACGCTGAAAAGACGGCTCTTTTAACGAGCGCGTTACAGGCGGCAATGGGGATTTCCGATTTCGAAAATCCTGGCTGCGCGGCAGGCAGTGGTGGTCATCGATTCTCTACTAATTTATTTCTAATTCCAAACACAACAATATGTTACACATAATAACAATATGTTTCACATAAATTAATATACTGGTAGGTAGCAGAATACTCTAGGCTTAAATATTAGAATTTTTAAAGGCATAATGGATTTTTGATTGTTGTTGCCTGTATTGCAAATAAATTTTATTACTCTCAGAAAATATACACAATTATCTGAATACAAGTAGTATTTTTGTCAATAGACTTGACTATTATCGTAATATCATGGTACCACTGATAGAAAGCGTCAGTCAACTTCTTGGCTATCTTTTCATATGGTCATTTGAACAAATGAATAATTTTAATAAACTGACTGTGTCACAAGTTGCTATTATTTTTTATTGATATCTATAAACTTTGTGTGTACATATACTGTTGGTTTGTGGCTTTATTCTGATATTTCTATTGAAGCTTATTTCCTAATTTACTGGGTTTTAATCAACTAAAACAAAAATGTGTTATTTTCGATTTTAGAATGTATTCGGAATTCCAGATTCGAAAACATTATTTTAGAATGTATTCGGAATAGTTTAGTATTCGGAAATGGCCATCCCTGGTTACCACCTTGTATAACGTGTGTGAGTCTTTTGTGTTTGTTATATGTGCAGGAACCTTTTTGTCAAGGAGCGATTCTTAGAAATTCAGGTAAGTTTGGCATGTTTTGCTTCTAACCGTTTGTTTTACACATTGGGTATGACTAAGTATAATACATTGAAATAAGTCCGATCTACAATCCATAGTAACATTACAAAATTAATATGTGAAATCATCTCATGACATTCTTTGTTTTGCCAGGCCATTGGGAAGGACGAGTCATGGAGACTGCACCCCATTTGTATTTGTAGCTGATGAGGCATTCCCTTTGAAGGAAAATATTATGAGACCATATGGTGGGAACAACCTGAACTCAAAACAGAAAATATACAACTACAGGTTGTCAAGGGCTCGCCGAATGGTAGAGAGTTTTGAGGAAAGGAGAAAATCAGCCAGAAAGAGTGCAGGAAGCTTCCTCAGAAGCTGACAGCAATACCTTACTGAGGAGTTTGTCACAGATTGGGGGTCGTGCAACATCCCGGGCGATAGCTACAAGGGAATCGTACACTGATTTTTTTAGTGGCCAAGGAGCTATTGGATGGCAAAATGACCAAGTTTGAAGGTGATCAGATCATTATACACTATTACGCAATAAACATTAATAATATATCGAGGTTGAAGTTGCATATCTTGTTGCGTCATTGTGTGCCACCCCCCCCCATCTAGCATTCAAATATATTCGTAACACATAAAAGTACTACAAACCAGTATATATTTGAGCATGTATCTAATCTGTATTAAATTCTAGATGAAACAAAACTTCTTGAATTTCAATCTTTGCCTGCTGAAATTTTTTATTTGGCAATCGTCTAAATGTCTGCACAAGCGATTGGGCAAATATTTCAGCATCATCTTGTTCTGGAAAAAACATTTAGAGGAGTAGCTATTGTTTCTTCATTTTGTGTATCTTTCTTGCAATTATACTGTCCATTTCAAATAATTCTAATTATCGATATCTTTACTTTTTTGTCTATCAGAGTTTTGTAGTAGCAATAAATATGAATACTACTGACCTTTGTTAACTAGACGTAGAATGGCCTGATCGATATCAAAGCTGGAAGAAGACTCTTCCAGCTTCTCTTGCACTTGCCTCTGATCTTGGATATCACCTTCGTTTTCATATACAACGAGGGTGACATCTTCAGGCACACTGCTAGATGTTCTAAAATTAAACAGGGGCCATATGTTACCTCATACTCATTACTTAGTAAGACATCTTTGTTTTTCACAGGTCAATGATGAAAACAGGGTGGGAAAAGCAAGTTTTCAGTTTATTGTTATACATTGTTTCAAATAAAAGAGTTTTGTTTCTATGAAAGTGTCATTTCATTTTATTGACATATCAGTATACTTAGTGGAGTGTATGACATGGAATATTTTATGAAGTTTTATTCAGTCTTTGTAAAAATCAAAATAGGGCTTTTGTGGTAATGACATACGGTATAGGTAGAGTAAAAATGTTTTCCCCACCACCTGCTTTCGCAGTACGAGTTTAAAAACTCTAAGCTACCCATAAACTCCCATTTTTTTTTACATCCACCCCCTGCCCCACTCCTACTCTCAAACGCCTCCTCTCTTTTCTCTCTCCTGAACCTATCTTTCAACGACCTCCACCTTGTCTTGCATTCTTTCACTGTTAAAACAAGAATACCGGTACTGTTATTTTCGGTTGCATTGGACTTAAAGGGACTGTCCTCTCCAGTCCCCGAAGTGCGAGATAAACTTACCCCCTATTCCCATTTCCTCGCCAACCTCTATCCACGCTTTTTCCTTCAAAATTTTGTTCCGGTAATCTACCGCCCCAACCGCCCACAAACAATTCTTCTCCCTAACCAACTCTATTAACTTCGCAACTTCCATTTTTCGGGTTTGGGTAATTAATAATTGGTTAGGTTTTCGATAGTTAAATTTATTTCGCAGATGACACGAAATTTCCCCGCCATTGTTACGTAACAAGTGGACCGTAGCACGCTGCGTTAACGCATTCGAAGTATGAACACCCTCAACGCAATTGCGTTGGATTCCGTTCCCAACGCAACGCAAACCTATGCGTCAGTGTGAACGGGCCCTCATTCGTCAAATATTATGTTTCACGTAAAAATATAAACAAATTACGTCAGATTATTTATATCAATAAAATATAGTATTATCTCATTTATATATATTAGATATCGGTGTACTGTGTACCCAACATGTAAATTCAATAGAATACGTTTAAAAAAATAAAGTTTGTCCGGAGACTCCATCGATAATCGTTATGAATTACGGGGATTCCCCACATAACAAACGTTACCAAGACATTTTTAAGTTTTGGGCGGCTAGGGTTTTTTTTCTGCATTATTCAGTTTTGAGAAGCAGTTATGTTATTTTCACTGTGTATCGTTTGTTTAATTACTGGATTTTCTAACGGACAAACATCAGGTAAGTTACTACATACAGTCAGGGTTTTTTACTAGACCTAAATTGTTAAATACAAATAATTTTTTGGATAACAGGATAAACGTGCATAAGGTTTTCCTGTTTCTCCGCATATAGAGTAAAGTCAATAATAGGATTTAATCATATGGAATCAACATGTTTAATATTGATTGAATTTGAAAGCGATCATTTTTTGTTGACATGTGGTAGATCATGCTAGATACTGAGGTATGTTTAAATTATATATCTATCTATGTTTTACAGGAACTAATCCAGCATTCGAAAACATTGCTCCTTGTGGATGCGATCTGACTTTAAACCAATATGATAACAACTGCTGTTGTGACCCAGTAAGTTTTAACAATTGTGAAGTCCATGGAAGCAAACTAAACTTGACAATAAAAATGATTGTGTTAATTAATCACAATTAATTTATTTGAATGTATGTTAATTTTTCTCAGAATAACATAATAGAAATATGTTATAACATAGGCAATTCCTACTTTTTTATTTCAATATCTGATGAGTGGATATTTACATTTTTAAAAGATGATGTAATGGTATTTTTCACAAGGAATTGGAATTTTTACAAATCCTAACCTTGTCAAGCTTTATACATGTAATAAATAAATAATAAATTGATGGACATGCAAGTTCTATCTGTAGCACAATGTTTCTAATAATTACCAAAATTTAGAAGGTGGAAAGTTGAATGAAATTAGATCAGGATCTCCAAATCGTGAAAGTGGACCAAAATTACCAAATTTTTTATTTTCATTTTTAAAGGACATTACGAATGAAGGGAATATATCAAACTGCATTTCTGGACCTTACGGAGGAAACTTTATGACTTTTGATGATAGAATATGTCGATTTAATCAATCTTTCACTCCTGATTGGTTTCCTTTCCTCTGCATTCAGTTTTTAAACTCTCCTGATCTGGGGTTGTATTACTATCCATCCATTGCACCAGGGTAACTTACCTTGTTATGGACATGATGTACAGCTTTTTTTTGCTAGAATGCTGTTTTATAAATATGTCTATGTTTGTTCATGTACATCAGTTACAACAGTGAAAACTGAGTAAAAAGATGATCACTTCCCTTGTTTTGTAGATGTTACCATGTGTGATCCACTACCGCCAAAAGTCCTAGTCCCTAATTGCTGATGAAATTTCCATGATAAATGTTTTGGTCAATATCTCATGCTTTATAGGGAATTTTCCCTGAAGGGTTTTTCTTTTCAATGTTTTAGATTTTACATACTACCATATTTACTGTAGTTTTAAAATCAAGAATACATTCTAGTTTCAAATATTTTTGCTTCAGTATGCCAGAATATGACCCATCTTTGGGTCAAAAGCATTGTATATTTACATTGATAGAGGATATAGTATTCGATAATATAATATTTCTATGTTGCACTTGGTGCGAACCTTCAGACATTAACAGACGACATTTCTTAGCTCAACAGTGACAGTTTCTTCAGTTCAATACAATTACGCCGAAGTAATATCGACAAGCGTTTGTGGCCAGAGCACCACACATACATATGGTGTTGCAATCGGTGCGAAATCTAGTGGTGTCGATACTTGTTTAAGACTGCCTCAAGTGAGTACAGCAAAATACACTATTAGCATATATATTTGTGGTAGAGCGACGCACAGAGTTATGAAATGGATTCATTTATCGGGCATTGGTATTAGAATTTTAATATATAATGTAACGTACGGTATATATATATGTTGGTACTTGAATCTGACTGCATCAATTAGTGACAAATGGTGTTACTGCTGGTATATAAACAAAAGCCATAACCATTTTATCTATTACATGTAGAATTCAATTTCTGGCAACTGTATATCAAGTCCAGTTCGATATCTTGTGGATACAACAGCATCGTGTGATACAACAACATCCGAAATCCTCTGCTCAGCTGGAACGAAACTTGATGCAGCTTATTATACATCCTTCAGCATAGGCAATATTGTAAGTGAACCAATAGACAATGCAAAATTAGCAGTTTTATAGCAATCTATGATCAAACGGAAGACTCAAAACCCTAAGCACCAAGTCTCCGAAAATTACTTCTGAAATCCTTTGCTCAGCCGGAACAGAGATTAATGTTACAAAACCTAAAACTAGTTTAATAGCGACCTATCAAGGACTCTAAACCCTTCAAAGCTCAGGGTCTCCGAAAATTACCTCCTACTATGCGATAAAATATTTTCAGGTTGCCAGTGTCTCCTACTTTTGCTCTCGAACAATCAATGACCCTCTTCATGTGAAGACCAACCTTGGCTCAACAAGCACAAATACTGAAAGTCTTTTTCAGCAAACTTCACTGACAACAGGTATGTACAACATGCAATGGAACTTTATTATTATAAACAGGCAGAGATGACTGAATGATAAAATAAATATGGGGACTTCTAGAACACACGAAAACACATTATTATACCTAATCAGAACATTTTACACAAAAATAACAAAATAAAAACAATGACTATCATATGAAACTAGCAAAAGCACTACCAGTAAAAGCATGAATAGAAGGCTTGCAGTGAGTAGCACACAATAAAAGGATAGCAAGACAGACAGGGGTTAAAACGATGGAAAGACATTGGAACATTACCATGCCATGGGTACAAATGTATGTTGTGGAAGACCATTCAATGGGCTAAAATAGTTCAGATTACGATTTACCTGACATTGATTACTACGAAATTGCTGTTCAAGTTGTTGTTCTTCAAATTGTTTTTCATATGAACGTTTTGCATTTCTGGTCATTCCTACGACCATGTTCCGGACCTGCTCTGTCCAAATTCAGTGAAAAATAAATATTGATTATGTTAGAGAATTGAGAGAAATAGGTAGTATAGAGTTTGAAAGTCTATAATATATAATAAGAGGGCTTGAATAGCTTTAAACAATCGCTTTCTACTGGTATGTAATACTGATAAAGACCAAGTATGTGTCAGTGATTTAGGCTTGAGGTTTCTGGAAAATGCGAAATGTTCAAAAGTAAAATGGATTTATCAAAATGCATTCACCTTTTTGTACATCTCCACAATATCCGGTGCAGGATGTTTCTTCATACGCTTGTACAAACGATCACGGACAGCAATCATTTCTAAAATTTCATCAGTGATCCATGCTTTGTGCTTGTGATATACACCGTTAGCAGAGAAGTCACCTGATGCAGGTGAGTCCATTGCTGGACTGTGAATCTGAGGTGGCGTTTGTAAATTTGTTCCGTACTGTTGTGCTGGTACAGAATTGAGTTGAGGAAATCCAGAAATCGGTGGTGGCATCGGCAGCCTGGAAACCCTTGCGAGCGGGGTTTGTGCAATGCTAGTAACTGGATGAAATGGTAGTGGAACAGGCATAAAATTTGGAGGGGGTGGTGGAACAGGCCAACCAGGTAAAAATGGAGGCATAGTTGGTGGGATCGCATTCAGAGGTAGAGGAGACATATTGGTTTGACATACGCTGCCATTTGTGAACGAACCATTGGAAAGTCTTCTGCCTTGCATTGAATAAGGCAAGGGTGAAGATGGCCAAGATGTGCAAGTGGATGATGTGAACCCGCATTCTGAGCCAACATCATCGGAATCTACACTGCTGCCTGGTAGCCGTATTTGAAAACCTGCAAAGAAAATTGATTCATTTACTTGAAATAAAATTTTCTAACTGATTTCTTCGACCTGTATACCAAATCAATTTAGTCACCATTTGCTTTTGCACCATCACTCTCATTTGCAGATGACAGGTATCCAGAATCCATTGTGGAGCAAGTAAAGGATGAATGCAGCCTTTTCTTTGATGATTTCTTTGTGCCAATTGCCTATCAAATGAACAAAGCAAAGACTTCAGTGATCAAGCTTTCTGATATACATGGCAAGGATATAAGATAGTTGCATCTTACCTTCATGCAGTTACTCTCGTTGGATGACTGCGTCCCTTCATCATCTGCATCGTTATCACTGCTGTGATTGCTAGAAGATTGTCCAGTAGATACTGGGCTTCCTCCCGGGTATGGCGAAGGATTTATCTCCATGATATGGCGATAGATATCAAAACCAGAATTATTAGTCAGCTTCTGAGCAACTTTATTCGAAGAATTTGACCATGGGCTATTTACTGATGTGGCAGACTTTGACGACTCCACGGCTTCTTCACCAGGAATATTCCAAATACTGGTATCATGATCAGAGTGTGACCTGTTCACAAGATGAATTTAGATTCACTATTTTTTAATTAACATTGGAAGTAATATAAATCGTGAAGTAAACTCTTACTCTTTGTCAGTTAACTCTTGCAACAAATTCCCAGCTTCTTTGCTCCAATCATCTACTGGTTTTGCACAAGCCAGTGATGTTGGATAGTAAGACTTCATGAAAATCTTCATGGCATCAGCAAAATTGTCAGTTACATTGCATGGTTTGATATTGTTGGATGTAACTTCTGCAACTTTATTTTGCTGTGGAGGTGGAAGCTGGGCCGAATCCATATCAGCATTCAAAACTAATCCCCGCTTCTACAATAGAGAGGTTGAGATCTTATGTAGATAACTAATGTCGGATATCGAGGCCACTCACGTCAAAGCTGTAGACAACTGTTTTGATTGTTTACATTTTGCAAAATCTTATTGTTCTCTATTGTAGAATGATGGAATTAAACTAGTATGTAGAGAAGCCTTTGCTGTTTTCTGATCGATTGGGAGATATACTTTTGTGTAATATTAGCTTAAATTCCTCTCATTAGTCAATCATGCTAGCGTTACCTTCATGTTTTCGAATTCCTGATAAAGGACTTGGAATTGTGGTTGAGTTGGTTTTATTAGATCCTTTGGTGTTTCCAGGACTCTCGTGGGCATTTTTAATCTTGGTACCTAAATTGAAAGCAAGGTATTTAACAATGCTTTGGATGCCTGACAGATTCATGTTCTTAACCATTAATTTCACATGATGCCTTTTAGTTCATTCATGGCCATATTTAAATTCTTTCAACGCCAAATTTAAGTTATTGAAACAGTACATTTGACAGATTTCTTGAAGCATCGAATGATAAATGATTTTTCTAACCCTTGGCATATTGCCAATTTCTCCCTTCGTAGAAATTTTGTACTAACTTTCTACTAACATTTTTGAATATTCTATCGGATGGTGGAGTTTGTTTATTACTATTTTAAGGTAGTCTTACATTTACCTCACACGCTGGTATGTGGATTCCTTGTCTTGGAATAGACGGTGGAATTGTGGAAACTGGCACTCCATTGTTATGGCTGAGATTTTGCCTAGGGTTTCTTGAAAACCGCACTGGATATTGTCGATTCTCGTGATAACCTTGCCTTTGGTATTGTGGTGTCCATCGCCTCCCTCGTTTATTATCGGCCATTACATGATTCACTGCGACTCCCCGTCTATGCATTCCTTCAGCCACCATCATTGGGCAGCCTTACTGTGGAAATGACAAGGTACATGTATATACTTGTCTGAAATGGCCGTTTGTTTACAATATCCCATGCCCTTGCCGCCGAATATTCTTAGGTATGTTAAATATCAGTTGGACATTGTCCGGGTGAGAAAAACGGGTAGCAGAGCGGCGACATTTGTCCAAGGTTGGACAATAACATAACCACAACCAGAGAAAAACATCTCGAACGTTTCAGGATTACGGGAAATTAACGAGGAAATGCATCCATTTTGCAGCTATCTATTAGGACGTACAACCTGTTGTAGAGTAAAGAGGATTCCACTTACCTATCAAATGTTGAGCTGGAAACAGGTCTTTTGTTTTGAAATCGCTATCGCTTGTCGTTCGGATTCAGAACCATAAAACGTGGGAAATAGAAATAAAAAATGGACAACTCTTAGCTGGTGAAAGTAATAGCAGCTCCTAAGTTGTTATTGAAAACCATACAACGTTATAAAAAACATGTAACAAACGGAACACAAGAGAAAAGAAACGATGTGATCCAAATTTGCCGAGAAATAGAACCGTCCGCAGATATGACGTCACATGGCTAAGCTCCCGCGAAAAAATGCTCGACGTAAATTATCGGGGTAATTATTAGGAGTCGTGCAGAACAGGACATTATTTCTGTTTACATACACTTATTTTTGTAAACAAATCGACGTCTATGTACGGTTTGCTTCGTAGTTTTGTTCATGCAAATGCAAATTGTCAGCGAATACAGGTCTTTGAAATCGGACTTTCTATGATCATATGTCAGACGTGTTTCAAATGATGCATATGTAACCGAAAGTGTGTAAATGGATTATGTATTGGCATTTCACGCGGGTTTTGTATGCCTAAGGAAGTTTTTCGCCACACATTCGTCTCAGTATCTTCCAACCATATAAAAAAAATGTACAAATTTTAGTCCAATTCATAGGATGCATCACATTTAATGTTTTAAACTTTAAATATGTACGATTTTGATTTTTGTATCCATTTTTACTGAGTTTTCCATTAAGTTTATTTTACATTTTCCACGCTGATGACACTCATTTTTACACTATCAGACCCGACTACTTGCAACTATGCTGCACCATTATTTTCGTCTGCTGGCTCTTCTTGTCAAAATTCGGTGGCATCAGTCAGCTATACAATTACCTGGAACGGAACGAACATAACTGCTTTTGATGTTGCGGTTACTTTGGTAAATGTTAGCTTGACTACTACGGATTTAGTATGTAAGTAATATTTGACATTGTTGGGTGTAATATAAACGCATTGTTTTTTGAAGGTTTGCTATAAAAGCAAATTTGGAATTTAATGTTGATAGAATAACTACACATACGAAATATATACAATAGGTTTTTCCATACAAGGTAATTCTCGATTTCAAATACCCTGCTAAATTGGCTGATAATGTTAACTTTTGTTAGGTAAATACACAAGACCTCAAACAGTGACCGGCAGTCTAGGTAATATAAAAATAATAAACGTTGATTAAGACTTTGTAATACAAAATGAATTCTTCTCTGCATTCTATTACTAAGGACAAAATCACGATAAAAGGAATTTTAAATTCTAGCATGTAGCAAAGTCATGCAGTATACCATCTCAATTATACATGATTATAATTTATATGGTTGAATTCAATGAGGCACACCTAGGATCACCGCGGGGCCTATGGAAACTGCGGCTGTATATATTGCAGTGGCCAAAGGTTGGCCCTGCTGACAGCTTCATTTATAAGTTCACTTTAAGATTCCCTACGACGCAATCATTTAATATTGTTCATGCTTACAGCTTCTGGATCTGGACCGAATTTCGTACTGGCTCAGAAATTCACTACAACATTTGTTCCATCGACTTCAACGAATGCTGTTGCACAATCCGGAGATCCCGGTTACGAATACGGACTTCCAATTATCAGCGCGGAAGACACAGGAGCAACTGAAGTCAATAGGACGACGCAATTGAGCGTTTGGAGTCCAAGTATGTGTTCTGTTTATCATGTTTTTGTAGCTTATCGTGTGTACAATCACGGAAATGAAGTTTAAGATAGCGACCATGTGAAAAAGGATACAGAAAGTACTGGGTTAATACAGATTTCCATAAAAATTATGATAGTTTTGACTACCAGTAATGGGTAAAGGCTACCTGTAGCTCTAGTTAAAGCTCAAAGCATACTTTTCATGCATTTCGTGATTACAAATGTTGTTTAGTGGAATTTGTAAGTAATAGGATTATAATATTTTTGGCTGTATGGAATCTAGTAGTTAGTTTCTGAAATACCCTGTAGCGAAAATGAAAGAAGCTGTCGACCTTTCAAAATAGAATGATTTTATTACTGCAGCACATATAAAATTAACACTGTTCAAACCATTAAACAATCCCCAAAGTTGCCGACAATCACGTTTCACGATTCGTTGCACTACTCGGTTGATTTCTTATCATACAAAGAGTTTTAGCCAGGTTTGGTCATATCCTGGCAAACTCTTTCCAGTTATTTCGTTGCTCCATTTGGTAAATGGGTGCTGTTATTCATTGTCCTGCTGATGATAACTTCATTTCACTTGCGAACGACAATTTCACAATGTGATTCAACTTCAAACGTTCTTGATTCGATTGAAAATTTCTCACCGGTGTTGAATGTGTATCGTCCGTTAGGCTTTTCGACGATGAATAAGGCATGCCTAAAATGCAAAACGAAAGTTTTCAATGACTGATTTATTCACTAATGTGATTGTGAAATTCGGATAATCTTGGTTGGGATTTTGAAATGTTGCTTGCTTCACTTTACTCTGACAATTTTTCGAATTCGTTTGCCCTTTTGTTTTGCTATTAAGATTTTAAACACCATCCTATGTATTTCAGTTTCATAGTGCCCTAACTTGGGTTGTGAATTTCCTCCGTGTCAAACAGTACATCGTAATATGTAAACTACATAATTACTGATTATCATCATATTGTGGTTCGTGCGCGCATACATAGTCTTCGAAATATCCAAATCTCAGCATGAGATGTACACTGAGATTTATAGTGATTAGTGACCAATCGGATACATGCGTGTCGAGGTCCAAAAGCAGGGTTGTGGTTCAGGAGAAATTTACCACCGTCTCGGGTTGTAACTTTTTGGTTTCTAGATACGAACTCCGAGAAAAGCAAGTTTTGATAACAAAAGATTTTATGTATTCAAGCCTTAATAGAATGTTACGAAGCTCTTATAAAGTGAATGCTTTTCAATTTTCGTTTATCGCGATCGAACGTCTGGCTTCCCGACCTCGGAGAGTTTTAAAATACGATTCAAACTCCGGTGAAAACATGCCAAACTCCGACGTCACAGCCTTGGCCAAATGAGTCAAACCTCTTCATTTTTCAACATTTTGAAAACAATTCGTAGCTGAATTTACTTTTCAATAAAAATTTCGTAGAATCTCATAATTTGGGTTTTTACGATACGTGAATGGCATCATTTTTTAATATGCTCAGGTACTACTCCACCGCCAGTTAAACAGAAAATTCGAAATACCTTTTCAAGAATCCTTGCCTACAATACGCTGGTTGATTATTTTTTTGTTGCATCACTTGTTCTTTCGGTAAAAACAAATCCGTGTTCCTTCGTTTCATTCCTCGACATTTGCGACAATCAAATCTCTAACGATATACAAGTATAAAATTTTATCAGCAAGGTATAGATGACGCAAATCTTACAATTATTCATGCTCTTGCAATGCCAAAATTTGAGGTAAATCATGAGGTATGACAGAACTCATAAATTTCTTAATTACTTCTACGGAAATGCAGAAAATTTATTTAACGCTTAACCTTCTGTTTGTGCATGATTGTACACAAAAGTTCCAGTAATCTAGGACTATTGACACAAAATGTAAGTTCATTCTATAATATGTTCCATATGCCATGAGTTCTGCTTTATGGGATCACACTGTACTAAGTATGTAGCAAAGCTGTAATTTTATTGCCCGGTCTTGATTGTTAGTTATATGCGCAGCCTGTACTATTTAATGCTTAGCAATATGGCTGTCTCGCATACAAACATTTGATTATCCATCATCGAAATGAATTTACATTTTCAGTTCTATAATACATATTAATGAATGGGCATGCTACTAAGGGCTATAACCTTTTTTAATTATTTTTATATATTTTATATTGATACATTTGCTTTTTTTATGTACCAACTTGAATTTGAATGACGTATTGTTTTCTGTACTTCTTACCTGTACATATGACTCAAAGAAAAACAGTTCAGCTTGTGCTTTTTCTTCTATTTCTCGCACTGGTACTTGATTTTCGGACGAAAAACAAGGGGATTGATATTCGTCTGTGATTTGTCGCCGTTTTCGCCTATTTTCCTCGTTTTCTATGTTTCGTCTGTTACGCTGTGTAGCACAAAGTGGCGAGTTGTTTCCACACAGGGATTCAACTTCATTTTGTGATGATGCATCTTCCGCTTTATTTTCTCGTCTCTTTCGTCCAGAACCATTTTGTAACGATTTTAATATTGTCTTGACTTGTGTAGTTGAATCAACTCGAGCACGACTCCTGTTTCTTCCAGATAACATAGAGAATGTAATGCCGAGAGAGCTGAAACGAATGAAATTTGAAGTATTTTGGTTTTGATTACTGATAACACGGAAAAGTCCATCATATATTGCACAAGTGATAAATGAATAGCAACGTGTTTCGTATGCGTAGCTTTATATATACCATACATGCAGGCAGATTCCCATAGGGGTCTTATGTGTTTCACCATATAACATTTAACAACGATGTTATCACTGACAGTGGTACTTCGTTGAGTTGGTTTGTAACATGTTGTAATATTCATTCATCTTCGATGTGATGGGTGTAATTTTTGTCAACGTGTTTCTGTTATGCCACCAGACCCTAGTATCTCATACCTTACTTACAACTAGTGGTTAACGATGTTTTTCTACTCCTTAGTGATATTTTTACATTGTTTATTATGGTAGCATCAATACTTTACGCTTACTTACTGGCAATTATTTATACAAGTGTTGTATTCAAAAAACATAACTCCTATTCCTGTGGTAAGTCTTCCGTTTCTCTTTAGAAGGGCGATCGTGCTGTCTGCAGAACGAGACCTTTTTGTACCCAGAGCCCATAGTCTTGTGGCCTGATTCAATGTGTTTTCACAATGTTCTGAAATAAGATGAAGTATTTTTAATTAGGCACAAATCTTTATCACGTAATAAGTGTAAGCTCAAAGACTTTTTCAAAATTGTGGTTTATTTGAATACTTTTGAAAATATAAATTTACGGTATTCCCGTTGTTTACTAGAAGTTATATGTGCTGCTGTATTGATGATTTGAACGCACTCGTAAGGTATAATTTCCTTATTATTTTCCTTAGTTACCAAAACAGGAGATCTATAGTTAAAAGTTTCCAAGTTCTGTGGTTAAAAAGGTCAAAAGACATAAGGATAAAGCAATTTTATTACTATTATTCATGGTAATCCAAAATCAGGAACTACCATTTTATTCATTGCGACAATTCCAGCAAATTTACCGCAGAAGCTCAATGACTTGTAAAATTATTGTTTGCGTTATACTTATCATGCCTTTATCACGTATCAATTGAAAATATCTTCAAATTTGCAAATATTAAACAATAAGACAATAACTAATAGTTCTACTTCTAGACATTTAAGACAAGCCGTTAGGCCCCCAAAATCTCCGATAATAGTTGAGGCCTGCACACAAGCAACTGGTAACCATACATAAAAAAAAACTTGCGGATCTATAACGACGGCTTGATCAAGTGACCCTGCATCTAAACAGACAAATACACAGACAGACCGAACGACTGAGAATAACGGTCTCCTGACCTAGAGCGGATATTCAATTATAGAAGTTTAGAACACATGATTCTTACCTTCACACTGTCGTTCTTTAATCAATGCTCGTAGAACGTTAATTGAGTATGCGCTGTTGTTACCATTTCTATCTTCATCATCGTCTTCCTCTTTACTTCTCCCATCAGCCGGAGTTGAGTCAAAAAACTTTTCACTCCGGACACTCATACTACCTCCGGAGCTAATAGAAAACATTGCATTTTCGTTTTTCTTAATTTCCTCGTTTTGTGAGTCACCGGACCTTGTAGTGTTATCTTCGTCTGGTATCGGTACTGTGGTGCCATTGTCGACAGAAAATAATCCATCTTCTTCGCCGTTGTTGACAGTGAAAAAGCAACTAAGATTCAAATTATAAAAGCATTATGAGGTGAAGTTTCCTGCTTCACGCTACCATACACCTCTACTAGAACTGTTGGCATAGAAATGGATATTATGGTCCCAATCACCATAGATTTTGGGGGTCTCCCGAAGTACGCGCCCACAAGTACCTCTAGTGGGCGTAGCATAATGATTTTCGCGTATAATATTCCTCACACCTGACTACGCCAGCCAAAAATTACGCCACTATGACGTCACAATCACGTCAAAGTATAGCTACGATTGTCCGAAATGGCATCTGCGCCAACTATAATGAACTCATGCTATGTAGACAGGCCAAAGTGAGCAGTGGTTTTCAGAACTCTTTTGGATCACACCACAAACGATACGAAACGAAATTCACGTTTGTATGCATTCATGAGCGTTTTATTCTGAATATACATAATAATCACGAACAGGGGAATATTGCATTTTTTAAAGCAAAGTAGTTTAAATTCCAAGGTATATTATCTTAGATACATACCTGTTTTGTCGAAAAATATCATATGCTAGGTCAGGATTTTCCAGATAAAGTTTACATGAAAGACTTTTATCCGTTTCTTTCTTCTTTTTGCATTTCTCAACGTACTTCTTAGAATACTTGTATCTGTATCTTAAGGTTTGAATTTCGGAATCTAAAAATAGAATAACAAGATTAGTATTTGATAATAAATTGTGTACATTATATATTAAATCCGTTCATCATATATATTCAGACAAGGTCGCTGGAACCTAATC